TTAAGGAGGGAGGAGTTATTCAGTTATTTAAGACTTAGCCAGGCTACTGGGGTCTCCCATGCTCATGTGTCATTATTGGGTCTACCAGGGATTTTGACAGAATGTATACATAGCATTTTGGAGCTCCCATTCTATGTGTCTTTATCTTTAGGAATACCCTGCCCTTACAGAGGGAGGAGGAAGTAATTTAGGGCTGATGTCATGGCTAAGATAGAGCCTCTAACATGGTGCCAAAAAACCTTGGCATGATTGAGAAACTGAAAGATGACTAGTGTGATATAGTTGTCTTGGGGGTGGGGTGGGGCAGGTGCTGTGAGATACGGTCAGGGTGAAGAGAGAGAGACGGGGTATTGGGAGCCAGAATAGCAAATTAGATTTTGTCTAAAGCCCATGAGAAATTTAAAACAGGGAAGTGTTAGCTGTAGTGTTTTATAAATATCAGTTAGGCCAAAGTGGTTGATGTGATAGATCTTCTGCATCACTACTGATTTTATATCTACTTGTTCTAGCAATTGCTGATGGAAGGGTGATTAAAATCTTTAAATCTGATTGTAGAATGTACAAAATGATATATATTTTAGTTCTGTGAATTTTCTCCATGTACTTTGAAGCTCTGTTATTAGGTGCATATACATTTATGAGTGTTATGCCTTTCCATATGAAATGTCCCTCTTTATCTGTGATATAATTCCTTGTCTTGAAATCAGCTTCACTGGATATTAATATATAAATATAGTCACTTCAGTTTTCTTATGCTTACCGTTTTCATGATATATCTTTTTCCATCTTTCTACTATCAACCTCTGTTTTTAGGTGTAAAACTTGTTTCTTTCAGACAGATACAAAAGTGTCCTGGCTATATTTTTTCTCATTTTGACAATTTTTGCTCTTTAGCGGAGTAATTTTAGATATTGTATTTAGCCTTTATATGGTTTGCTGAGCTTCTTGAATCTGTAAATTTGTATCTTTCACCAAATCTGGGGAAATTAGGGCCATTATTTTTTGGAGCATTTTTCCCCTGTCTCTCTCAATCTTTCTTTCCTCTCTGATTATATGCATGTTTGATCTTTAGATAATATCCTATGTATCTCAGATGCCCTGTTCAATTCTTACCCCAACATGTTTTTTTTTTTCTTCTTCAGATTGGATAATTTCTATGATTCTATCTTCCAGTTCATTGACTTTTTCTCTTGGCTTCTCTAGTCTGCCATTATGTTGATCCATTGAATATTTTATTTCAGATGTTGTATGTTTTACTTCTAAAGTTTCCATTTGGTTCTTTTCATAGTTGTTATTTTTCTACACTATTTCCTATCTTTTTATTCATTACATGAATATTTTCTGTTAATATCCTTTTTGTTATGTCCAGCTATGATAGCTGCTTTAAGATCCTTGTCTGATAATTCCAACATCTGGATCATCTTGGATTGATTTTCACTGATCGTCTGTTTTCTTACATATGGGTCACACTTTCCTGTTTCTTCACATGTAGAATAATTTTCGACTGCATATCGAACATTATGATTGATGTATTGTAGGTACTCTAAACTCTGTTATGCTCCTCCAAATGATATTAATTATTATTTTTTTTTTATTTTAGTAGACAGTTAATTTGGCTCACTCAAACTTTAAGCTCTGTCTTCTCTGTGGTGGGTAGCAACTGAATCTTGTTCAGTTATTTAAGACTTAGCCAGGCTACTGGGGTCTCCCATGCTCATGTGTCATTATTGGGTCTACCAGGGATTTTTGACAGAATTTATACATAGAATTTTGGAGCTCCCATTCTATGTCTGTTTATTTTCAGGAATATCCTCTCCTTACAGCTTCTATTTGATGCCTCTTCTCCATTATCTGTGTGCTTTTGGTCCCCTTCCAGTGCCGATAGGTAGTTGTGTTTTATATGTGTGTAGAATTTGTACTTGTTATCTCAGGAGGATTGTTCTGTTAGGAGGTATTTGGCTCTTACTGGAAACAGAGCCTAGGATTGTGATAGGTTTTTAATGGAAAGAAAACAGGATTTGATGATGAATTGTATGTATGGGTTGGTGGTGGCAGTGGTGTGGGCAAAAGAGTGGAATCAATGATGATTATTCATTTTTTGGCTTAAGACACTGGGAAAATGGTTTTACTCATCTTTGTGGTAGAGAAGACGGGGGGGGGGGGGGGAGCCTGTTTGGGGGGAGCACAGAGAACGTAGTGATCCAGAGTTGTGTTTAGACGTGTTACATTTGAGTTGAGATGCTTTCTAGGCATTCAACTGGAAATGTCAAATAGGTAGTTGGATGTTTAGAATCTGGAGCTCAGGGGTAGAAAGTAAGACTCAGAGGTCTAGACTCAGTCATCAGAATAGAGTTGGTATTTGAAAGTGCAGGACAGAATAGCTTTGCCTAAGGTAGCTTAGAGAAAAGGGGTCCCCCCAGCACCGCGCTGTGAGCCAGGTCACCATTTAGAAGTCAAGCAGAGGAGGAAGAACTACTAAAGGAGACAGAAAGAGGAGCCCGTCTGTGGCAAGGCCCCTGGAGAGAGTAGATCACAGAAACCAGAGAAGAAAGTTTTAAAGAAGGTAGGAGCGGAGACAACCGAGCTGAGTGCCCCTGAGAAGACAGAAGAGAGAGCCTTGTCCTGGCAAGGCAGAGAGCTTTAGTGACTTTACTAGACCCTCTCAGTGGAGTGGTGGCGGGACAAGCAGTGGGGGGGGAAAGTGGAGACGGTGACAGCTGTGAACCGAAATGCCTGCTCTTGGGGGTCAGGCCACTTGGGTGCATGTTCAGCTCTGAGCCGTGTAACTGCCACCGCAGAAAGGGACTGCATGCTCAGTGCATGTTTATTACTGATGACAGTAATTCCCTGTCCTGCACTAGGGCAAGACTTCTTCACCTTGAACTTAGACCTTCCCCTGTTTGGGTTACCTGGACAACCAAACTGCCAGAATCAGAGGTGGCATTTGCTAGCTGTATGCTACCATAAGGACGTCCTGTTTGGAGCTAATTGACAGGTAACTGTTGTGCATGCTCTTTAATTAGCGGTCCTGCTGATGACAGAAAGGTGAGTTCTGAATACAGACAAAGACACTGTAGGCTGTCACTTTGCCTACTAAGAGTTACCTTTTCTGTTGTTCAAGTTGGAGTTTATAAGGCTCAAGCCTCTTGGTAAAGACAGTTTTGTGGTTCAGAGTGTCATTTGTTCTGAGAATTGTCTGTATAGTCAGAATTTGATGGTTCACGGAAACGTCCATAGAATGAACATCTGTTTAACCAAGGGTCAATTTGCTTTATGCGTTTCTTGGAACGTAGACTTACATTTCATTACACTTGTTTTCAGGGATTCCATGAAGCCTCGTTATTCCTTGAGGTGGTTTCCTGTGGAATTTAGCCAGTCTAGGCAGAAATTTTTGCCTTTGGTTTAGTAACAGTCTACCTTTCTATCCTCGCATGCTGACATTAACCTTTGGATCCGCCTGTAACAAAGCACAACAAAAGGAATCAACCAAGCCGAAACTCTTTATTTTCTGACTCTGCTTTGGGTTTTGGTGTCTGGCTTCTGTTACTTTGCAGAATTACATTTGCAGATGCAGATGTTGTATTCGCGTCTAGCATGGTGTGTGAACTCCTTAGACTTGTTCTCCTGAATTGACAGGATGCTTAAGCCCTGGTCCTTGGCCACGCCCACATTACTGGGTTGATTCTTCACTGGGACAGTCTTGTCTTCTTGGGTGGGGTATCAGCCTAGGGCAGTCTACCTGCTTTTATGGCAGGTTTTATTTATCATGTGTTCCAAGAAGATTCCATTCTAAGCGCTGGCAGGAACAGAAGTGTGAACTGTAGCCATCACGGGTGATGATGACCATCACTGATGATATTTCAGGGTAGTAAGATGTCCCCAGTGATTTCTCAGTGTGCGAACCAGCCAGCCCCACTGTGGCTCCTAGGGGACCCCCGTGTCTCACCTACTCACATACCCCTAAGCCCCCGATGGTGACCTTATCTTTATCAGGAATTCTATTGGGATTTGCTGGTTTAGATTTCAAAATTGTCAACCCTATACTGTAAAGTAAAAATGCAATTTTAATTTTTATTTAGTTTATATTCTCTTCCATGGAGTTTTCCCAAAAGTCAATCAATCATGTATAGTCATCAGCCATTATATTGAAGCCCTTTGTGACTGTCTTCCTCCCAGCTTCATACCTTATTTATGTTTTCATTCTTTTCTTGTCTTTTGGATTAGAAGTATTTCTATAAATAAATGGGAACAAGTCTCTGATTCAGGACCTTCTGTTACCAGGGTAGGGGAATCGGGACCATTTCCACAAAAGGCAAATATTTCTAAAGCACATTTCGTTATTTAGCTTATCTTAACGCGGGGCAGGTTACCTTAGGTATACCTAAGCATAGCAAAATATACCATTTGAAGACACCTTTCTGTCAATACTTTTTATAGCGCAGGTGAAGTTCCAACCTAAAAAGCCATCACTTTCATCTACGGATTAATTCCTTTCTGAAATACTTTATTTGCTCTAGTTGATTTTTAAAAATCTCTTTGCAGGAATCCTGGCAATTCGTTTTTTTTCTCCTGTTAGTTTTGGAACACTGTACTTGTATCACAATCTCTGTGATAACTCTTAGAACTGAATTACAGCCAAATTGAAATTATTTGTGCTTTGGAGAGGAGAACTGGCAAGGACACATGGTCCATGACTTGTGCGTTGTAAGATAATCGTAACCATGGCAGCATTTGTTTCCCAGTATTATGTTTCTGCATTTAAGTGATGAGATTCTTCCTAGGGCAAAAAAATCCACGCGTATATTTCTCCAGTTGAATTTCAATGATTCCAACTTCATCATGACAACATTAGAAGTTGTTTTTTCCTGTGGAATGGCCAGTCCAGTCATTTGCTTTATCTCACATGATAGTGGTTTCCGTCTGGGCTAATAATATCTTTTGATAAGGTAAATTTCTAGGAAGACGTAACCTAACAACGATAACTTTTTTTAAAAATCTAGATAAAAGAATACGAAAAGCTTGACAACGAGGAAGACCGCCTTTGTAGAAGTCGACAGATTTATGATGCCTACATCATGAAGGAGCTCCTCTCCTGTTCCCATGTGAGTATTTCTGCTCATCCGAGCGCTGTGGTGCTGAAAAGTACGCGACCACGTTCAGTGTTTCTAGAATGAAACTTTTAAGATCACGGAAAAACGTTTAAAAATGTAAAAAACGCATCTCCAGGACGGAACCCATTTCTTCTGTTTTGTCATTTGCTTCCTGCTAATACAAACACAGTGTCTGTTGCTTCATGTATACTTAGTATGTTTGCAAAAGCTGATACTTCCATTGCAAAAACGGACAAATAATATAGCGAATTTGGGTCAATTGAAGAAAAAAGGTTAGTCTCAGTTCTAGAGTTTCTAAAGAAAATTAGGTTTATTATTTTGATAATAATTTAGCTATACCTTAACAATTAGGCTAATCTAACATTGGATAAATATAAATCTTAAAAGGTTTCTTTGAATTAGTAATGAGGATGATAATTTATGTTAATTTTGTTCATTAATAGTTAAATAATGGTTGAAATATATATTTCTTTTTCCTTGTAAATCAGACAAACATTCTAGTTCGGTCTTTAGGGTACGCTCGATTCCTAGAAAATTATTCCACCAGGAGTAAAACTGACGACGTTAATATCGCTACATTAGGACCATTTTCCAGAGGAATGCCCTAATCACATGTGGCTATTTAAATTTAAATTAATTGAACTCAAATGAGGTTAAAAATTCCATTCCTCAGTTCTTCACGCACCACATTCCCAGTGTCCAGTGTCCACACCTGGCTAGTGGCTTGTGTGTCAGCTGGCACGGGCGGCAACGTCCCCGTCATCGCAGGAGGTCCAACTCGATGGCACTGGTGGTGACAATGACCTATTTCAGCGCTTCTGTGCTTATTGTGTTGTTTGCAGTTCTTTGCGACATTTGATTAACTGTGGCTAAAGATGACATCTTGCATAACATGCATTGCTTCATTGTTCTTCGAACCGGCCTTGCTTGGGGACGAAAGAATTTCTGAGCTGGAACTAGTCCTTGACACCCTGTGCCTTGCTGCCTTGCTGGGGAGTAACGGCCCCTTGGGGGATGCCAGCTGTCTGGTGGGAAAGCAAGCCTCTGCACACTTGGTTGTCGTGCATTTCAGCAATCCAGAGGGGTTTTAGCCCTACAATGAGATTTTTTTTTTTAGGGTCCTTAAATCTTTTTTTTTTTTATTTCAGCATATTATGGGGGTACAGATTTTAAAGTTTCAATAAATGCCCTTCCCTCCCTCCCCCCACAAGTCTGAGTCTCCAGCGTGACCATCCCTCAGATGGTGCGCCTATCACTCGTTATGTATGCATACACCCGTCCCCCCACCCCCTCTCCCCAATACCCTATTACTGTAGTACCTATGTGTCCACTTAGGTGCTACTCAGTTAATACCAGTTTGCTGGAGAATATATCTGGTGCTTGTTTTTCCATTCTTGGGATACTTCACTTAGTAATATGGGTTCCAGCTCTAACCAGGAAAATATAAGATGTGCTATGTCACCATTGTTTCTTAGAGCTGAATAGTACCCCATGGTATACATATACCACATTTTATTAATCCATTCTTGAATTGATGGGCACTTGGGCTGTTTCCACAGCCTTGCAATTATGAATTGTGCTGCTATGAACATTCGAGTGTAGGTGTCTTTTTTGTAGAGTGTCATTGGATCATTTGGGTAGATGCCCAGCAATGGGATTGCTGGATCAAATGGTAGATTCACTTGTATCGCTTTAAGGTATCTCCATATTGCTTTCCACAGAGGTTGAACTAGTTTGCAGTCCCACCAGCAGTGTAGGAGTGTTCCTCTCTCTCCGCATCCACGCCAGCATTTGTTATTTGGAGACTTTTTGATAAAGGCCATTCTCACTGGAGTTAAGTGATATCTCATTGTAGTCTTGATTTGCATTTCCCTGATGATTAGGGATGATGAGCATTTTTTCATATGTTTGTTGGCCATTCTTCTGTCTTCTTTAGAAAAGTTTCTGTACAATGAGATTTTTAAGGCCTTTCTTCTCATTGTGCATTACTAAAGAAGACGTGATTTGAAGTTCCGGTGGGGGGTGGGGAAGGATACACTTTGTAATTTTTGTCAGTGGAAGCTCCATTCTTTTTGCCCCCCGTTCCTCTCTGCTGTGGTTACAGCAAGGCTTCCCTCACCCCAGAGCCCTTTATAACTCCGGCTTGGCTTTATAAGCCGGGCATTTAATTCCTAGGTATATTTTCGTGTATTCGATTTCTCTTACAGAGTAGAAATGTCACACTTTTGGAACCCCATCATCAGCTAATTAAGGGATGTATATATTTAATCAGGTGATAATAGGATTCTTTACATTTTTATTATCACAGTGCCCTTGAACTCTTGGGGAACTGGGATGGAAATCAGGTACCCCCAGGTATGGTTTCTAAGGACTGTGGATGCCCAGAGAAACAAGTGTTTGCTTGGATTGCCTATAAACATTCCATAGATTTTTAAAGAATGCTCGCTAATACAATTACTACAGGTCGCTGTTTAGTATCCTTATGTTAAAGCACCTGTTGTGATATAGGATAATATACAGAGGTCTGTTACATTTTATCATTAAAAAATATTTTTCATTTTTTTGAAAGCCGTTCTCAAAGCAAGCTGTAGAACATGTACAGAGTCATCTATCCAAGAAACAAGCGGCATCAACTCTCTTTCAGGTAAGATAAAATTATTTCAGAATAAATATATCTGTTTCGCTTCACAGTTGACCTTGGTGACATTCTTCTTGCGTTCACCAGTGCACTAGAGGAATTGATTTGCAAAACTATTCTTATCTGGAGGTTTATCTCCAACAACTGGAGTTTAATGTGGCTTGTCTTCTCATTGAAATGTGATTTTCCTACCAACATGCTCCATGAAGGCTTTCCCGAAAAAGGTCACTAGAGGTTTTTAGTAACAGTATGTTCTAGAAAATCAATCAAGATAAGGTATCAAAGAAGAAGAGTTCTCCCACTTGACATTCCGATAGCTGTGATTAAGTAAGGACTTTACAAGATTTATTTTGCATTGCCAGAATGATGATACTCGCGGTGATCATTCTTTGGATAAAATCAGATTTATTTTCAAGGATCAAGAGTGAATGGTTGAATGACCTTTGAGTCATGACTAAGGAATTGTATTTTTTACCTTGGCCATTCATATCTTTATTTTTATTTATTTATTTATTTTTAAATTTTTAGCTATTATGGGTGCATAATAGCTGTATAGACCACTCGTATGTTGAACACAATACAATCACATAGATTTCAATGACAAGACTTAAAAAACCAAATTCACAGCTAATAGGCCTATGTGTTTTCTTTAGATTTAATGGTTTTGCCTCCTCCAGAAAAGCCTTTTCCATCCTTTCTTTTCCGTAGAGGTGACAGTGGTTTGCAAGGACAGTCAGATTCTCAGATAATGTAATTCTTATGTTTCTGTGAATTATAAGGAGTATTGAAAGAATGCCATTGAGCAATGTAACGATTTTCATACATGGAAATAATTAATGTATCCTTTACTTGGATTATTCATTCACTTACGCTGCGGTACTCTGACTTTCGACTCGATAGTATTTATTTATGCAAAATGAACTTGATTATTCCACAGACCAGATACTAATCTGGCTCTTAGAGCACTTGGATCATAACGAAGAGGGTGATACCTTTCTGCCAAAATAATTAGATGGCCTCTTCACGAAATGCAGGGCCTGTCTGTACGGTCTAGAGGGTTATAAGCTTGGACTCCGAAATTCATTGACCTGCCCTGGCTTTAGGTCCCAGGGCCATAGCTGGGGGACCCTGGGCCAGCGTCTGCACTCCCCTAACCTCAGTTTTCTCCCCTGTGGCATGGAGGCGACAGGGGGCTGCCCCTCAAAGGAGGGTCCTGAGGATTCAGTGAGGAAGGTGCACTTGAGTGGCTTTGCACTGGGTGTGTCTGTCACAGTGCTCCACTCCACCAATGTCAGCCTCTGTCACAAATTCCATTTGCATATTCAAAGAGTGCAATATGAGTACATGCTTTTTGTTGTCTCTATGATATTTTAGTGTCAGAATTTCAGTTTTCAACTGACTTTGCCACAGCTCATAGCCTTGTAGTCAGTTTACATTGGACATCGCTAAACTGCACTTCATAACACATGGGCTTTTCAACTCTGATTTTTAACTTTTCCTATAGCATAAATATTACTGAAAAAATATTTTTCTAGGTGAGATACAAAAACCACTAAGATTCTTTCATTTATTTAGAAGTTATTTCTTCAGCATATCTTTTAAAAACACTTTACTGATTTGTTTTGTTCACTTAAAAAACGAATGGAAATAGTATTCTCGTAAAACTGATATAGAATGGTGGTGTTCTTATTTCAAAGGTGAAGAAAATAATTAAGTTCATTATTGTGTGTGAGTGCAATTCAATGTAACACTTATCGTGAAAAGATAGTGACAATAGTTTAAGTGAAACTTATATGTTTGGATGTCCTGTTTACACAGGCCACATTAGCTAGCAAAGTTGGATGAACTTTGTAGTAAAACAGAAATGCTCTGAAAATAAATACAAAATGTTTTTTTATTAAATTCATTTGGCTTGCAAGTTGCCTTTAGAAATAAATAATTGCATAGGTCCATCGGGTGGGGGTCAGGGAGTGGTCTGGAAAAGGCCCTGCCTGGGGTTTGGGTCCCTAAAATGTGCCAGACCCTGTGCTCAGCATTCAACATTCCTAATCTTATTTAATTCTCGTGATGGCCATGCAAATTAGATGTGACTGCCCCCTTTTACAGATTAGGGGAACTGAGGATCAGAGAGGGGGAGTAGTTCCCTCCTAATCCCACTGTTGAACTCTGGCTTTCTTACTGCTCATCGAGTATGTTTTGCAGTCCCTTCTGCTGCAAAGTGGCAATGTGGTGCATTATATGCAGGCTTCAGAATTCCCCGTGGTTTTCATCTTTTACTTTATTAGCAGAAAGTCTGAGCTATTAGATTAAATATGAAAGCAAAATATTGCTAGAATAACTGACACGATAGTTTTTGTAAACAGAAAAAATCTGTGACATATAAACGTAGCCTTTTCTTTGTATAAGGGTCTTTGAGCGTAGGAGCGGTTTTGTCTTTTGAAGTCTTTTGAGCCTCTCGGGAGCCGTAGAAGACTTGGATCGTTCACAAGCCATGGAGGAGTCGTAGGCTTTCAGTGCTGGAAAGAACTAGAGAGAGAGGGAGAGAGAGAGAGGGAGAGAGAGAGAGAGAGAGAGAGGGAGAGAGAGAGAGAGAGTGTTCAGCTTCCCCTGTTAGGGAAGGAGGGAACAAAGCCCACGTGGCTTTGGCAATCAGTCCCCGTGGCCTCCCCAGCACAAGGGTGGCCCTGCCAGGTGGCAGAGGTGGGCTCAGCTCCCCTGCTGGCTGTCGGGCCTACGACAAGTTTTCTCTGCCGTGGGAAGTATGGCTCCCAGAGGAGCCGTGGCTGCCGCCCTCCCCGAGTCTGGTCCCCGCGGCTCCTGCAGACTTCCCACTCTCGTCGCTTGGTCAGGACCGCTCCAGGACCTGGTGCTTTTCTGTACACTTACAGGAGGATCTGTGAAGACACAGAAAAAAAAAGGTTAACATTTGCAGCAAGTTTAGGTTATCAGGGTATTTTTCTGAAACCATCTAATTGACTCCAGGCCAAGCCGTGAAATACTGGCACTTCGTATCTCTGTAGTTCTTGGTTTAAAGTTCGTCACGTAGAACAGCGTGTGCTGTTTATTTGGTATTGTGTAAAGTGGCTTGAGAATTGGAGTAGATCGTGGGTGTTTTGCACAAGGAGGCGAGCACTGTGTAGGTGAGCCGGGAGCCCGCCCTCAGTCCCAGTTTAGCCAGGGGCCTGCTCGGAGTCCTTGGGAACGCACCTGTCCTGAGTCCGACAGCCCCCTTACCTGCAGGGTGGAGAGTGGGATCAACTCTTCCTCCATGGCTACCTTTACTTTAGCTCTACGACTCTAAGAGATAGAGCCTCAATCCATAAACTAAGCTAATTAAACAACTCCATGGGTCTGTTAGCTTTGAGTCTTTAAAACTCAGTACTAACACACAACTTTTGGTAGTTTACAAGATTCGCTTACACAACTCACAGGGCCTAGTGCAGGTGTCCTCAACTACGGCCCGCGGGCCACATGCGGCCGCCTAGCACATTTATCCGGCCCTCTGGGTGTTTTTGCCGCCTCTGCCTGTCCTGCTTGGCAGGACCCACAGTGCGCACTCTCCAGCGGTCTGAGGGACAGTGAACTGGCCCCTGTTTAAAGTTTGAGGACCCCTGGCCTAGCGCAAAATGAAAACGCAGGGTCTCGAGTTCAAGACCCGTTAAAAATTTCGCAGTGGTGACAGGAGGGCATTAGAGGCAGCACTGGGCTCTTCTATGTCCCATCTCCACGGAGCTAGCTTTGGTCATTTGGGAAGTGCCCGTGACTTGCCAGGAGCCCTGCCAGGTGAGCAGGGTACAGTGGCAAACAGGGCGGACCTGTCCCTGTTTTCATGGGGTCTCGAGGGAGAGAACCATGAAATAAATACTCGCGATGATGAATCTGTCAGTGACAATTAGGCAAGCACCAAGAAGGGCAAGTACGAAGATGCTCTGGGAGTGTGTGATTGGGAACCTCGTGTAGTCTGATTCTTACCGGTTTGTGTTTTTCACTTCAATAAGTTCCTATTTATACAAAGTGGGATTTCTTTTCTATCCTTTCCAGCCATACATAGAAGAAATTTGTGAAAGTCTTCGCGGTGACATTTTTCAAAAATTTATGGAAAGGTATGAAACTTCATGCATAAATATAAAATTTTGTATTGTGTAGGCATACCTCCTTTAACTCAGTAAGTGCTGTCCTTAAAATGTGTGTTAATTTAATCATTCAACAGGTATTTCTTGACTATATACTATATGTATATGCCAATGTTGTGTTAGACTCTTTCCTCAATACTTTACATTATAATTTTTAGGGTTTGTGTATCTTGTACATCTTAACATCTCTTTGACCTTCAGTTCTTTAGCTTAATTATGGTCTAAAATTTACATAGACTAGGGAACCTCAATTTTGGAAAAGTATCTTACTGAGAGACCTCTGCTAATGCAAGCATGCCTGTACCTTATCTGGCCCATTTGTTTGGATTTTGGAGTCAGAACTCCCAAAGAGGGACCAACCTGAACTTGGTTCTTTAAGTAGTAATAGAATGTAAAGGCATAGGCCGGTGTGTGTCTGTGATCACATACATTATTAACAGACCTGATTTAAATATGTCTCTTTGGGTTACTCAAACTATAGAGCATGTTTGTCATGCAATATTCTGAAGCTTTTCAATGACGCCCATAAAAATGTTCAGCCTCTCGGGCACCCAGCCACTGCACTGGTCAACTCTTCAGGTTTTGAGTTCGCCTCTGTGATGAGCCACTGTCGGAATTGGGCTTTTCTAAAACAGCATCTGCCTCGACACTGATTGTACTTTCCTCCATAAACTCAGCTAATTTCTAGACAATCGCCATGATGATCGTGTCTCATTGCCAGAGCAGCGCGCAGCTGCTCGGTTAATTGCACTTTAAGAACAAATGCCACTTCACTGCAGTTTTCTTCTCCGCATATTCACAGAACTAAAGCAATTAAAAAAAAAAAAAAGAAGTTGTGTTGTGATTCTACTGGAGTTCAAGAGATAATTTTATCCCGGAGTAGAGTCAGATACTTTGGGAAACTAATATCCGTGCAAATGATTGCACTCTTCTGAATAGTCGCAGACACTTTGCCAAAAAGCAGCGGCATCCAACCGAGGAGGCCGGTTGGTGGCATCAGGGCTGAGTCGCAGCCGAGTCCTGGGTCACCTCCAGGACTTGCTGTGGGTTCTGAAATCTGACCTTTCCCCACCTCTTGGGGCGGTCTGGCTTTATGTGATCCTTGCAGGAGAGGGGAGAGGTGGGCATGGTAATGAGAAGTGGGGGCCGGGTTCCTCCCTGCACGTTTTCTAACTCTGCTATTGCCACCAGGCTAACACACAGAGCTATTGTCCCTCACTGTGTTAGTCGTTTCACATTGTCACAGGAAACACAAGGGAAGCCGTTTGCACTTTAGACAAGCAACCACCCTGGATTTTCTGAAGCCGTTATGATTTTACTTCGATAAATGATTTGTGAAGTTGATTTGTTAATTTTTATGCCTTTGCAGCTCTTTTTATGTCAATGCATTCTCAAATTAGAAAAAAAAAATCATGTCAGGTTATGAGTTTGCGGTTTTGGTTTTGAAAAGCACGGGCCTTCTGTAAATACGGTCACGTAGCCCTCGACGTCATCAGGACGTGGCACACCAGGCCCCCGTGGTTAAAGCAACTCCTCCATGGCCACCCTGCAGTAGGCTGGCAAAGAGGAAGTTGTGTGTTGGGGCAGGGCGGGGGACATGTCCCTCTGTCCTCTGAGACGGGGCTCAGTTCTAGACAGTGCTGAATGGGGAGGATTTCCCTGCCTAGTTCAGACAGTGAACTTGAGCTGCTCAGCAGGACAAAGCTGAGCCAGGAATCAGAGCTAAACACATTTATTCTACCCCACCTTACTGTATCCCAACCTGTCGTCTTCTCTGTGAGATCCTTTTAAGTTGTCTGCAAGGGCTCCGGCTCTCTGAGCCCTGGAACTGCCAAAGCTCTGTCCTCTGCCCCGGTTCCTCTTCTGTCAAGAAGTGCCCATGCAGTGACCAGCTGTGGATTAGGAGTGGTGCCCCAGCGACCCCCACGGAGGCTGGACGGAGCCTGGATGCTCAGTCCTGGGGCCATCTGTGCTTCCCAAGGAGGAACTTGCTACGGCAAATCCATACTTGGTGGGCACTTCTCTCTTCCCGGTTTGTTAACCCTGCTCAGATGGCTGTCCCCACAGCCATCTCTGAACCCCAGAATCCAAGAGAAGAGAGGGTGTGGGCCAGCCCCGCCAAGCAAGTGCGTTTCAAAGACCAGTCGTGGCTTTATGCATGCGGAGTGCACGTGCATGGCTTAAAAACGGTTTGAAATAATTCTCAGAAACTCTCAAAATATACTTTTACTTTACCAACCTCATAGATGTTAGGAGGATCAGCAAAGCACTCTTTAAAAGTCATTTTAGATTTATTGAAAAAGGATGCTGTGTAATTACAAAGAATCTTTCTGCTTTTGATTTTCAGTTTGATTATTAGTCCCAGAAATATTTGCAAAAGATCTTTATTTCTACAAGCCCTCTTAAATGAAGCCCTCAGAGAATTTTGATATTTGGATGCCTTAAGGCATTCTATTATAAAGCTGATAAGTACCTATAACTTGCACTTCATAAAAACTAACTCCCTCCTGCCCTTCTTCCCTCCCTCCTTCCCTCCCTCCCTCTCTTTGTTTCTTTTTTCCTTCTTTCATTTCATTATAAGAATCCCAAATCCTGTGTCTGTGTAAGGAATCATGCCAGGGGATAGGTCCACCCATCACTAAGAATGTTCTCTGCTTTTAAGAAGTATTCAATCTAGAATGTATTTCCTTCGAAAATCTTTTTTAAAGCAAATACCTGGCCGGGCGAGGTGGTTCACGCCTGTAATCCTAGCACCCTGGGAGGCCGAGGCAGGCGGATTGCTCGAGGTCAGGAGTTCAAAACCAGCCTTGAGCAAGAGCGAGACCCCCGTCTCTACTATAAATAGAAAGAAATTAATTGGCCAACTAATATATATAGAAAAAATTAGCCGGGCGTGGTGGCACATACCTGTAGTCCCAGCTACTTGGGAGGCTGAGGCAGGAGGATTGCTTGAGCCCAGGAGTTTGAGGTTGCTGTGAGCTAGGCTGACGCCATGGCACTCACTCTAGCCTGGGCAACAAAGCGAGACTCTGTCTCAAAATAAATAAATAAATAAATAAAAATAAATAAACAAATACCTTACAGTTATGTTGCTCATTAATAAAAAAATAATTAAAAAAATGCTGTTATTAAATAGGAATTGGATAGATATTTTTCTTCGTGGATGAATTTAAACACCGGTCAAGCTGTTGGGTGAATTGTGGGAGTGTTTATCAGAGCAGTGCAACTTGCCCATCCTGGGATTCTAGCCTGAGGGTTTCTCTTCCGCACGCTTGCGCCTTCAAGAGGCAGTACTAAAATTTCATTAAGAAGATGCTCTGGAGCCTGTTGGTCTGGGTTCAAATCCATCTCCATCCACTCTCTCTCTCCCTGGCCTTGGCCAAGCCACTGAATACTTTGGTGTCTTGGTTTTCCCCACTGTAAAATACGGATCAAAATACTGCCTGGTCTCAGAGTTTTTAGGAAGAATAAATGAGTAGGGCCTGGCATATGGTAGGCACTATTTAAGTGTTTGCCACTCTTACAATTTTTTCCGAACATTTATTTTTTATCATTTAGAACCGTGCTGTCCAATATGGTCGGCGCTAGCCAAGTACAGGTGTCAAGCAAGCACTTGAAATGTGACCAGTCTAAATTAAAATGTGCTTTAAGTGCAAAAGACCCACAGGATTTCAAAGACTTGATTACATTTTGAAATGATAATTTTTTGATGTATCGGGTTACATAAAATACATTATTTAAATTATGTCTATGGCTCCTGATATCTTCACGTTGGACTATGCTGGTTCAGATAAAAGTGTTACCACAGTACAGGACAATTAAAGGAGAAATGTGAGCTCTTTCATCTGAACCCTAAAATAAAGCCATGGACACTAGTGCACACTTTGTGAAAAACATGTGTAAGAAAACTTATTCTATTTGAGAAGCACCACACATGGTGCAAGTCTATTTTATATCATGAAGTTGTTCTGTAAACCTAGTTAATTTGATCTGTAACTTTTCAGTAATTATTGATATTCTTTTTTAGCGACAAGTTCACTAGATTTTGTCAGTGGAAAAATGTCGAATTAAACATCCATGTGAGTATCATCTTTTTCTTTTTTCTTTCTTTAAATAAAAACTTCCTCTGGCTTAACCTCGTGAGAAAATACTTTGTTTGGGAACGTAGTCCCAAAGGGTGCACTGCCTGGACAGCTGTCTTTCCTACTGTTTGTGTACCAGACATGCCCCCCCTGTTCTCAATGATAAATGATTGAAGTTTTGCTTCTTTGTAATATTCATATAAGAGTACGGTTAGTAAATGAAAAAGAATGCGCTTATTTATGTAATAAAGGATATTTTAAGCAGTAATTGACCCTTTAACGAAAATAGTAGTGAAAATACAAATCTTTTACGTAATATAATTCCCCTATGTCCTTCTCTTTTGCTATTCTTGGAAAGTTCCATTTCTCTTTCCTATCGTTACATGTAATAATAAAAATTGAGCATGATAATAAAAATGATATCTTTTTCCAGACCAAGGTTTCATCTTCGTTTTTATTTTGTTGTGAAAGTGATAAAAAGCAATCCTCAAATGCAGGCCACCTGCTGACATCTGTCCTTAGCTAAGTTCCATCTCCTTTGGCTTTTGACGTCAGCAATTCCAGGGCGTGATCATCCATACTTCGCTTTTAGAACGCACTCGTCTTAGGTCAGCCTCTCTTGACTTCACTTTCACATTCTGCGTTCACCTAGGCCTGCAACTGGGCAAAGGAATGAACTGGACATTTTTTTCTTAGATTCTTTCTTTCTTTTTTTTTTTTTTGAGACAGAGTCTCACTCTGTTGCCCGGGCTAGAGTGAGTGTCGTGGCGTCAGCCTAGCTCACAGCAACCTCAAACTCCTGGGCTCAAGCGATCCTCCTGCCTCAGCCTCCCAAGTAGCTGGGACTACAGGCATGCGACACCACGCCCGGCTAATTTTTTTCTCTATATATTTTTAGTTGGCCAATTAATTTCTTTCTACTTTTTATAGAGAAGGGGTCTCCCTTGCAAACTCCTGACCTTGGGCGATCCATCCACCCGCCTCGGCCTCCCAGAGTGCTAGGATTACAGGTGTGAGCCACAGCGCCCGGCCTTTTTTTTAGATTTTACCTGAATGGTATTGTTGGAAGAAGAGTTCTTGTTTGATTTTTTATTTTTTTTTATTTTACACTTGCCCTTATCCAACAAGTCGAGAAGCAATAAGGCGCTTTTGTTGCTGTTTTCTAACCTCCCCCTCGTCCATCATATTTCCTGGCAGGGTTTAGAAGCAAGAGGCCATAATACACATTTTTAAAAAATCCTTTACGTCTGTTCTGGATCTTTCTCGTGCTTCTTTCAGCAGACTTTGTGTCCTTGTGGACTCTGAGCATCACACGTGAAGTCTTGAGGCCCCGATACAGGCTTATGTGACATGGATGTGGTGTTTTAAGGATTGTTTGGGGGAACCCTTAAAGAGGCTCACCCTTCACCCTTGCCAGGATCTGAAAAGCAGTAGACATTTGCTGTTGTCTAACGGCCTCTTTTTGTTTTTTGTTTTTTGGTTTTTTTTGAGACAGAGTCTCACTTTGTTGCCCAGGCTAGAGTGAGTGCCGTGGCGTCAGCCTCGCTCACAGCAACCTCAAACTCCTGGGCTCAAGCAATCCTCCTGCCTCAGCCTCCCAAGTAACTGGGACTACAGGCATGTGCCACCATGCCCGGCTAATTTTATATATATACATTAGTTGGCCAATTAGTTTCTTTCTATTTTTATAGTAGAGACGGGGTATCACTTTTGCTCAGGCTGGTTTCGAACTCCTGACCTCAAGCAATCTGCCCGGCCTCGGCCTCCCAGAGTACTAGGGTTACAGGTGTGAGCCACCGCGCCTGGCCTCTAACGGCCTCTTATCATGAACGTAGGATTCACCATTTGTCTCTGTACCTTTTAACACATTAAATCTACTTATGAAACGGGGCGTTACTGAGATAGCGTTGACAAAAGGAGAGTGCTCATGAATAAAGCCTCTTGACAGACTTCACTCACATTCAGTCTTGTTTCAGGCTCACGTGGCCAGCCTGAGCCCCCTCCGTGCACCGGTGCTGTCCACACAAGGTTCACGTGGCCTGCGTCTGCTGTGTTTTCCGATCATGTGGCCCACTGTTATGAAAGCACAAGATGCCTTTGACCTGGACTCTTATTTTTTTTTCACCCTGACAGTTCTTGGAATTGTTGGATCATCCCCAAACTTTAAGCTTCAGAGTAGCTGAGGTTGCTTTTTCATTTTGGCTCGGAATTTCACACTCAACTTGCCTTCAAAGCATACATCTTCTAACCCATCACCTGGGCACTTGTGGGAAACGGTCAGCTGCTTTGGTTCCCTGTCCGTCATCCCCCATGCACCTCTGTTTTGTGCCTCACGCACCTTGGAGGTTGTGTGGGGTCTCGGCACCCTTGGGCGGCTCATCCTGCAGCCCAAGGACTCAGGCAAGGAAGGGACAGACAGATCCTGACGTCAGAACTGCTATTTTAATTACTGTCTGTGTCTCGCATGAAAAAAAAGAAATGTCTTTATAACAACATAGTTTGAAGTTTTCATTTTGTGTTTTGATTTCACAGTTGACCATGAATGATTTCAGTGTGCACAGGATTATCGGACGAGGAGGGTTCGGTGAAGTCTATGGTTGCAGGAAAGCAGACACTGGAAAAATGTAAGCTTTTGATGCCCACACAGTTTACTGCAATTGTGTCAAAAGACAGTCCCTATATAGACTTGTGGAAGCCTGTGGCCTTGCTTTTGAAGTGATTTGCCTCAGAAAGGAACAGTCTGCATTTTGCTAAGCATGGTGAAGGAGAGCTGGGACTGCTACCTTGCAGGGCCGCACGGGAGGTTAGATGACGACCCCGCATTGCATGTCCACTATGGTTCAGGATGTGGGCGAGGAGCCCCGGGGATCCAGAGATGAGCAGGAAGTGATCCAGGGATGAACAGGAAGTGATCCAGAGATGAGCAGGAAGTGATCCAGTGATGAACAGGAAGTGATTCTTGGCAACCAGGGTCGTGTTACATGCAGCCTCCCCGTAAGCTAGCATCAAAAAAAAAAAAAAAAAAAATTCTGTACTTTGGAAAAGAGAGACTTCTTTTTTTCAGCAAAGATCCACCTGTTATTTAGTAGAAGCATTTTTGGGCAACAGCTTTTCGGGAGATGTCGGTTCCCGAGACCGGTAGCCGGGATGTTAGAGAGAAAGGACACCCTGCTGCTGGTGACCAGCGAGCGTTGTGGGCTCTGTCACTTCCCTCAGCAACTCTCCTGGTGGGAGGCCAGTGGGAGGAAATTAAGTACACCTGAGCCAGGTAGAAGGCTCTTCTGGAAAGTGAACAACAGTGGCATTCTTAAGTGTGGGAATTTTTTATTTTATTTTATTTTTAGCAGAGGCCGTTTAAGTGAACATATTTTTGAAGGCAAAAGAGAATGGAAGACTCTGATTTGATAGACCCAGAACTCCAGGCCTGATTAAGTGGCGGGCGTGTCGGAACAAATTGCTCCGTCGTAGCCCACAAGTCATCCCTCGGCCTCTCCTGGGCCCGGGAGCTGGCGGCTCTGCCAGGCGGTTCTTCCCGGTCTCAGGAAGGCCCGATAGTCGGCATGTGTTTTTTGGTATTTGGGGACTGCTAGTTTGCCTTTGCTAATCTGTGCCCATCAGTCACCGCCCGGCTTTGGGCCCCCCCATTGTGGGGTGACTCTGAGGCCTGGCGCTCAGGAGTCTGAAGTCTGGGGTCATGCTGGGACAGTAGTGTGGCCCAGTGGTCCAGAGCCAGGGTCCTGGTGCCCTGCAAGCCGTGTCAGGTTCAGCTTCCACACTCGGCCTTCGACAGAGTCGCCCATGTTGTGGTCTGTACCGTAGGTAAAATCAAAGCAGCCTGCGGTGACAATTAAATGAGATCATACATTGCAAAGCATCTGGAAGGCTGTCTACCCTGCAGTGAGTGCTCATCACGAAGAGGGCGCTGTGCTAAGACACGCAGGCCTCTGCAACACTTTCCCATGGAAAAGTTCTTTCCCATTCTGTTCACACAGTGAACTTTTTATACCAAACGATGTGCTCGTTGCTTGGCACGTTTCGTTAAATTTTGTTTGTTTTGCTTCATCACTGCAGCTTGCGGAGGTATTTGGGATCCCTTGGCTGCCACGTGAAGTAAACAATATCAGTTTATCTCTTTCGTACACATTTATTGTTTCACTTAACTCTCGGAAACAGCAAGTTGGTGGCCAGTATTCTTCTCTCTATTTTATAGATTACGGGTAGACAGTGCTCAGGAGTCCCACAGCTAGAAAGTGGCCTAGGAGTCCTCACTGCAGTTCTTCCCTGTCTCAGGGCTGCCAGGTGCACGTGAACGGGCTCTGTGGCCCGACAGTGAGTCGCCCTTACACCCTCCAAATGGAGCCCTAGGGTGTATGTACTCACCCCGTGGCCCAGGGCCCATGTTGGTCATCTGCCCTGGCCTGCAGTTTAAAGGTTTTATTAAAAACCATCTCGGTGGTAATAGAGTGGTAATAGAAGTAGTATGAAGCATTTGGAATATTCTTTATCATAAAAATGAAATATTTAAAAGATACATGGCTTCATATGTTCTCAATATTTGATCTCGTTATTAAGCAAATTGTCCATTGACTCATTAGAAGAACTCCTGGAAAAGTGGATAAAAATATCAAGTTTGAACAGTCTTCTCTGTTCTTATACAACTCAAACATGATAACTTATGATCAATAAGAAATAGATAGATTTTCCGTGTCCTACAATACTAAGATAATGTTCTGCCTTGCGTACCTGGGCTATGTAGTACTCCATCAACTGGGAATTTGGATGAATAGTTACACACACAGAATGTTCACCCTCTGAAACATGTGTAAAAATGCTTGCAAGAATTCCCTTTTAGCTTTCTGTTGTCCTTCTGGAAAAGCACCATGTTTTCTTTAATCTGTGATTATAGAATATGCCAAACAAATTGTCTCTATATTTTCTTAATATGAGCTTGTTCCAAGTTTTCAAAAATCTTAAGTTGTCAATTGGTTATTCTCAATTAACTTTAACCAATGATAAGTAGCAAAATCTTATTGATTCTTTTTATTATTTGAAATATAATAATTTAAATATCAAAACTGAAAGCTCCGACTCGGGCAGCGTAAATGCAATATATGTACCCTAAACATTTGTGCCCCCATAGAATTTTGAAATTAAAAAAGATAAGAACAAATCAGTAAAATACCATTTTAGAACATGCTCTTTTGAATGCATGCCTTACCTTCCCATTTTGTTGACTGTCACAGTTTCAGAGTCTTAAACTCTATACACTCTTATAAAAAATTGACCACTGACGAATCCACAATTCCTACCTGCCAAATATGATACGAATATCCCCCAATTAGTTATAGGCAGCAGCATTATACAAAAAAAATTATCTCACTGAATTGATTTATATCCATCCACTTTCTATTTTATTTAACTGGAACTTCATATAATGGTAGAAATATCTTAAGTATTGTGTGATTTTTTTTTAAATAATATGTATAAAATAAAAATATTTCTTGCATGGCACTCGGGTGCCACTTTCATTCTTTTAAACATTGCCTGAATATTTAGGAGCTTCCCCTGGTATGATGATGTGTGTTGTTTAAATCAGTCTAGATATATTACAGTATGGATTTTTCAATAGTATTTCTATTTCCAGGTATGCAATGAAATGCTTGGATAAGAAGAGAATCAAGATGAAACAAGGAGAAACATTAGCCTTAAATGAAAGGATTATGTTGTCTCTTGTCAGTACAGGAGTAAGTAGTCAATTGCCAGTGCTGCTTTTTAAAATTTGTCATTTGTTTGTTTTTTAGCAGGATGATTTATTATTATTTTTTTCCCTAGCTGATTACAGGCCTGGCCAGCTCTCAGGTGGGCTGGAATTTGATACTATCTCTTATTTGAGTTTACGAGTTAGAAGAAGGCTAGCAACCTTCCTTATGCAATCCATGACTTCTCCGTTACTGCCTGCTGTTTGTCCTTGACTTCCTTCTTTGCAGAATATGGTAGCAGAGATGGCAGAAACTAATTATAGCAGAAAATAGTCACTCGAATATAGTCAAGAATTGACTGTATGAGAAGAAGGACTAATCTGGAGAGGAAAAAGAGAAACGTAGCTCCTGCCCTTTAGAAGCAAATAGAGATGAAGCAACTGGGTTAGTCAAGTCTGAATTGTCGTTTCGGGTTTGTCCCTGGTTAGCGTTTCATTTGAGGGTGACTTTTGTCTTCCTCTCAGCACATTCTTCTCTGTTTCCTGGCCTTCCCGTTTCCAGCACTGTATTTCTACCTATCGGACATTCTAAACTATCATTTTCAGCTCAACATCTGTGGAAACTAGCTTTTACCTTGTACCTCCGTTCCTTGCAAACTAGCTGCCCATTCTGATTTCCTCTTCTGTTAATGGTTTGAACCAGGATCAAACTCTTGGCCTTTATTTGTGTGCACAGATGCCAGTGTGTATGGAGACGCATCCAGAAAAACTTACTCTTCCAGAAAGCTGTGCACGGATGTGTGCAGAGTAGCTCAGGGAGTCGGCTCGCAAAAGGGGAGGGACACGGGATGGGCGTGGCATTGCGGGGCGCTTGGTGTGTAGTTCACATGTGAATTTAATGTTAAACACCCAAGCCAGCAAGGTGCATATGCAGTGAGAAATATGGGGGACTTCTAAAATATAGGGGGACTTCTAAATATCACAGGTGGATTCTAAGTAAGGCCATCTTCACCAAAAGGATTTGAAAGACTCAAATTTTAGTGGCTGATCAAAGAATGAATAATTCTTTTCAATGAGTGAGCAAGAAACACTGACACCCTGAGAGATAAATTTCCTTGCCTCAATTCTCTGGACTCCCTGGCCGGTCTCCGGCCATTCCCTGACCAGGGCTCCTTTCGTATGGTCCCTTTACAGGCTACGTGTTTTTTATCACCCGTATTTATTGTACTGTGGTTTATATTATTCCAGCATTAGTTTTAAGTGCTTTTAGAAGGGCTCTTTGCCATTGAAGCAAAGAAACAGCATAATTTAGCTGAGCTGTAACAAATGTAAACTCGGTAGCCATAAATAATTTCTAATTACCTGCCTCTACTTCTCCATGTAGGGGCATTAAGCATTTCAAATAAGTCTGTGCGTGTGACCAAGTTTTTAACTGATTGGAATGGAAACTAAGCAGCATTGGAGTCAGTGTGAGTGGTATTGGCTTCCAATTTCTGTTGTAAATGTCCATGCCTTAAATGGACATCCTCAACTATGGATGTGCTTACAGAATAAAGATTTCAAGTGGTTATTAAAATATTAATTTTTAATGGGTAATCTCAAAGCCTTGGATAGTTGTTCTCAAAGCCTATGGAAAAATGTTTTGATGTTGGAAAAATCTAAGTACAGTTTTCATGTAGACTTTTTATACTTACTTGATTCAGGGGAGGGGGGAACATGGTTAAATAGGTGTATAGTTTCACACTGGTGTAGCCCTAGGAGAATAAATTAAGAATTGGGGTTATATTGGGGGTCCTACTTTGAACTAATGTAAAAGAATTGTTCATATTTTTTATTCAAGTATCACAACCATATGACATTTTAAAAAATTTATAATTTGGTTAAGATACATAATTTAACCATAAGAGTCATAGTAAGATTATTTGGGATTGGTTTTGCTGATCAAAGGGCACTTTTTTTATATAGGGTTTCAGTAATCCTTAATTTAAACTTACCTTATTAGGTGACACGTTAGATCAGCCCGTGTCAGCAGGATTTCCTGTGGTGTGGACTTGAAACAGAACCGCATTTATTCACCATTAGTTTTCTTGTTACTGGAAGTTTGTTTTAGGCTTTTTAGCCAATCTCAAATTGAGTATTCCTCCTCCCATCCTCCAAAGAGACAGTAGCAAGTCCTGTTCCCACTTTTTTTTTTCTGTAATTCTCAGATGGTAAAAAGAGAAATATGCATGTTTGAGAACAGGCGTGAGTATGTCCACAGCTAGGAAGAACGACCAGCAAGTCCATTCAAGTCATCTGGGTCTGTGGTCCCCAACCCCTGGCCATGGCCCATCACTGGTCCATGGCCTGTGAAGAAGCAGGCCGTGCAGCACTGCTTGAGCTCTGCCCCCCCCGCCCCCCCCCACGACACCCCACCTCCCATCCCCCATCCGTGGGACAATTACCTTCCATGAAACTGGTCCCTGGTGCCAAAAACGTTGGGGACTGCTGATCTAGGTCCACTGGAAGTGTTACTCATTCCGTGAATCACAGTTGGGTGTCTAGCTTGTGCAAGGCGCTCTGCTACCAGCTGGGGGGGGGGGGGCGTCCCCAAACCTGACTTCTGTCCTTGCTCTTACAGAGCTGCATGAAGCGGGAAAAGGTGGTGTTATCCAGATAATTTCAGAAATGCACAGACAGCGGGAACGTGTGGGGAGAGCGATGAAAGCCGGGGGCGTGGTGCTTGGAAGGCACCTGGAGGTGGAGATGGGGTCAGCGCGTGCTCCTCTGAAGTCACGGTGACCTGGGCAGGTGCCAGCAGGTGTCTGGGGCCCCCCCGCACATGAGGTCTGGGCGATTGGACGAGGGCAGTAGGATCCGTGGCGGTGAGGGGAGTGGAGCAAGGTGAAGCTGCAGAGAGAGACGGTGAAGGCCTTTCTAGGCCAATACTGGGGAGCTTAATCAGTCTTACAGCAATTGGCAACGAAATGATTTTTAACTAGGAAGCTGCAGTGTGGGAGACTTTCTTAAGGAACTACTCCATGGTTCTGTTTTATCAGTTCTTTATTTCCTGAAAAATCCAAGCTATTTTGCTCGCTCTTGGTAGGAAATCAAAGAAGACAGTCCCTTGCCCGGGAGCTTGACTGAAGGTTCAGCCTGTCAACTTCCGCCAGCTCTTATCACCACTGATTGGTGATCAAGGAAGAGCACCCCCCCCCCATCTTTCTCTTTGGAACCTCATCGTGCCATTCACTCAGTTGCTGCTTGTCTTTTCGTGTTGGCCGGTATTCAGTTCTCTGCGTCCCGGGCTCCATGTGAAAATCATTATGGTGTCTGCTCAGGTCCTCGAGAGCTGGGGACTGCAGTCGGTGGTCTCTGTAGAGGTGACCGAATCTGATTCCTTTACCGGTGCGTTTATTTTACATTGTCTCAAAGGTAAATGCAGCCGGATATTAGTTAAAGCAGTGAAAACAGATTTTATTAGGTGACTGCCCACAGCAGGGGAAACAGCTGAGCCCCATTCTGACTTGGGCAGAGGTAACCGGGTGTTTTAAAGGGAGAATGGGGGTGGGGTGCCCTGCAGGGGCTTCAGGAGACTCAGGGGAATGAAAAACAATAAAATGTGAGAATGGGGGCTCGGTCTAGGTGAGACCCATCTGGGGTTGCTGATTGGTGCCTACCCAGGGCAGGTCTCTAGCCTCCCACCGGGGCTGGAAGACTGGAAGATGGGATCCTATCTCTGGGTGCTGGCTGGAACAAACGGTGAATCCTTCTGGCACTTGGAGCAGGGTGAGGGTCATCCCAGGAATGCAGTCTTGAGGTATTAGAAACTATCTTAGCACTTGTTCAAGTCTTCAAAGTTCAGGCTCCGAGGATCCTGGCTAGAGTTGGGTCAAGGAGGAATCTTTGTTCATTGCTGGAGAAACCTTTGTAAGGTGCATAACACACAGCAAGAAGAACTCGGAGAGGGTCAGGAGACTGGGGGTTTGGAACTATCTCAGGCAAGTTATTTCCCTTTTAGGGGGCCTTAGTTTCCTTATCTTTAAAATAGAGAAGTTAGGCCGGGGGTGGTGGCTCGTGCCTGTCATCCTAGCACTCTGGGAGGCCGAGGTGGGAGGATTACTCGAGGTCAGGAGCTCAAGACCAGCCTGAACAACAGCGAGACCCTATCTCTACAAAAAATAGAAAAATTAACCAGGCGTGGTGGTAGTGCCTGTAGTCCCAGCTACTCAGGAGGCTGAGGCAGGAGGATGGCTTGAGCGTGAGAGTTTGAGGTTGCAGTGAGCTATGATGACACCACTGCACTCTACCCTGGGTGACAGAGTAAGACTCTGTCTCAAAAGAGAGAGAAAAAAAAAGAGAAGTTAGACCAGGTGTTTTTTTCTTTTGTTTTTTTTTTGTTTTTTTTTAAGAGCCCTTTGTACCCCGATAGCCAACAGTTATACATCTAAAATTCACGTCCCATCTTAATAACGTAACATTTTAAGGAGACTTAAACCTTTCGCTGTTTTCTCAGGGCTCGTGTTCAGGAATCCAGCTTGGCAGGGTCCACTTGCTCCCCGCCCGGGGAAGCGGGCGCGGTTGCTGGCTCAAGCTGGGACCCTGCTCTTCCAAGCTCTAGGTCCTCCCTCTTCTCTGCTCTGCAGACGAGCTGCTGGCAGCTCAGGGCCGAGAGCATGGGGGGGACCTCACTAGGGGAGAGCGTGGTCTCTGGAGCAGGGTGAGGTGGCCGACTTCAGAGGCCGGTGGAAGGTCTGGCGAAGTGCAGGCAGGTGCCCAGTAGGACAGTGCCCGCTGGAAAGGCCACAGGGCTTTTCACGGGGAAAGGATAGCGCCTGCATTTCACCTGTTCAAGGCAAAATAAATCTTGAAGGCAGTAAATACTGACATCATCTCAGCAGAACTCTAAGAACAACTAAACAGCCACAAATGAAGTTTGTAATTCTTTCTGGGGAAATTTTTCTTCGAGAGAGAGATATGGAAATTGAGTTCAAGTTCATGATTCTTTAGCAGTAATATATAGGATTAATATATAGGAAATGTGCATATAGCCTTAACATATAGGGATGTGTCAATGCAAAGTTATATGTTCTTAATAGAGAGGTTTCAACAATGTGAATTCTGTTTACAGATTATTCTGTCGAAATCTGGATATTTTCTTTGGAATTTAATAACTTGTCTGTTAAGAAAGTGGGTATAGATAGTCGCTGTCATTTTTAAAAATTTGAATCAGTTTAGCGACAGGTATACACTGTATGTAAAGAATCAGGATATAGTAGATGAAGTGGATCTAAATATTATAGATCCAACAGATGTAGCCTAGCGCCAGTGATGCTTCACAAGGAAACCCATGCATGTCTTCAGCACCCAGACCAAGAGACAGGAAGTTACCAGTGTTCTAGAAGTCTCCTCGTGCCCCTCTCTGTCACCAGCCCCATGCCCATGCTGACCTCTCTCCAGATTTCTAACAGCGTAGTTTATTAAATAGCTCTGCTAATTTTGTTTGAGCCTTGTGTAAGGGTGCTCTTCTGTGCCTGGCCTCTGTCACTCAGCGTCAGTGGCGACATTTCATCTGTGCTGCTGCACACAGCTCGTCCTGGCAGCCCCGCAGCAGGGATCGGCAAGCTAGGTGTGGCCAGGGACCAAATCTAGCCTGTGGCTTTATTTTGTACAGCCCATGAATTGAGAATTTTTTTTTTTTACATTTTTTAAAGGATTGTAAAGAAAATAAGCAAAGAAGAAGAGATGACCGGGATTGTATAAGACCTTAAATATTTACTGTTCAGCCTTTTGCAGAAAAGGATTGCCGACCCTGCTCAAATAGTATCCTCTTCCGTAAATATACCGCACCTTACCCATTCTGCTGTTGGTACACGTGCGAGTGACTTCCTGGTTTGGGCCGTTTTGAACAGTGCTGTTTGGAACACTCCTGTGCAGACCTCTTGGTGCACATCAGTACAGATTGCTGTGAGGGTCTACTCTAGAGTAAAATGGCTGGGCAGCCTTGGTAGATGCCACCAAACAGGTCACTAAAGTGGCTATACCATTGTGCACTGTCAACAGCCGTACGTGGAAGTTCGTTTCCTTCCTTATCTTTCTAACACTTCGTATTGCCAGTCTTTTTAATTTTAGCCATTCTCATGGGTTTGGGTGGTAGCATCTTGCAGTTTTATTTTGAGGTTGAGAATCTGTTCATAGGCTTGTGGGCCATTTGGAAATGTCTATTTAATTTTTTTTTTTTTTTTGCCATTTTTCTATTGTGTCGGTTGCCTTTTTATTAATAGTTAAGAGTTCTTTATATATTCTGGATATGAGTCCTTTGTGTGTTTATGGATTGCAAATATCTTCTCCCATTCTGTGGCTTATCTTTTTACTCTCTTAATAGTATCTTCTGATGAACAGAAGTTCTTAATTTTATTTTAGTCCAATTTGTAAACATTTTTATTGTTACTGCTTTTTGTGGCCTAAGAACTCTTCACTTACCTGGAGATCATAAAGATATGCTCTTTTGTTTTCTCCTGGCAGCTTTATTCTTTTATATTTCACATTTAGATCTATACCTACTGGAGGGGACTTTAGTATATGGTGTGAGGTAGGGGTCAAGGTTTATATTTTATTGTACAGATATCAATTGTTCCAGCACCGTTGATTGAAAGGGCCATACTTCTTCCATGTTGTGCCACCTTTATCACAAATAAAATGACCATTTATGTGCGGGTCTGTTTCGGGATTCTCCATTCTGTTTCATTGGACTCTCTGTCCTTGGGCTAATACCATGCTCTCTGAAATGTTGCTTTCTAATAAGTCTTGATAATTGTCACTGTAAGTTTTCCAGCTTTGTTTATCTTCAAGAGTTTCTGAAGTTTTCTTGGCTGTTTACACGTCCGTAGAGTTTAGAATCAGCTTGTCAGTTTTCATTTTAATTAAGATTGCATGGAATCTATAGATTTATTAGGGGGAAACTGAAATCTTTACAATTGAGTTATTCAATCCCTGACCGTGGTATAGTTTTCCACTTTCAAAAGCTAATTTAATTCCATTTATATTCTCCGTGTTTCAAAACAATAACACAAATAACTTTCCTGCCCCGTGGTATGGTTCTTCCAACTTGAGAAGCAGAGATTGAAATGGATATTGGGCTAGCCAGAGCCACAGTGTTGATCAACAAAAACACTAGCAAGACAGTAATATTTTTCTGTAGAATCTAGTGTTTCAAAGAGAATGTAATTAGAATAGACTCATGATTGAATCTGAGTGAGGACGGACCTTCAAGTTCATCTGCTCCAAGTATTAATGTTGTGTCTCTCTGCATTTTATCCTGTAACTGGATCCATCATTTTACTATGACTTTTAAAGTTACCATGCAGGTGTCTGTGCTCAATGCATGGGGCAGGGGCATGGGTAAAAATCCATAGCACGTATCGTGTATTAGAAAATAGCTACAAGAGAGGCTTTCGAAGGTTCTTCCCCACAAAGAAATGATAAATGCACGAGGCAATGGATAGCCTAGCTGCCATGATGGGATCGATCATTCTACAACATAAATATGTATCGAAATATCAAATGGCACTCCATAGATATGCACGATTACACCATGACAATAATAAAAAGTAAACAAATGAATTAAAAATCCTAGATGTGCTTTCCCAGACAGCTTTTGCTTTCTGCATGAACTTTTGTTGTTTTACTCTAGGACTGTCCTTTCATTGTCTGCATGACCTACGCCTTCCACACGCCAGACAAACTCTGCTTCATCCTGGACCTCATGAACGGTGAGCACGGCTTGGGCAGCTGGAACGCCTCACACACTCAGCAAGCGCGAATCTCGGCAGACTGGCAGTTTGGGTCCTTTCAGATAATTAGAGTCCCCCTGAAATTTGAGGAAACCTTTTGCCCTTCAATTTTTTTTTTTTTGAGTTAAAATTCATTTTAAAATGTTTACTGCAATTTTTTCTCTAGACCTCCCACTCTCTCCCCAGGAAATTGAATTTTCTAGAAAAGATTCTCATAAAATACTCACAGTGAAACTTGATTTTTCTGGAATGCAGCTGGCCTAGGTCTGTAATTAGCTTATTTCCTGGCCCTCAACTTTTAGGAATGAAATACCTCCTAAGAATACAGGCCAAAGATAGAAATGTATTTAAAAATCCACTTTGAAGGACTGATTTGGGGCCAAGTACAGATTTGAGCCCACTCTTCTGTTCCTTCTAAATTGATCTTTTAAACGGCAAATGATGACCTTGAGAATGGCAGAAAAATATCCAGCTAGAAAAGTCACTTTCTGACACTAGAGAGTGACCTGGTATATATCCAAAGTATTTTTAGTAACAAGGGCCAAAACAAAAAGGCATACAATTCAACAACTCAAATGCCTAGTTTTTTTTTTAAAGTTCACTTGAAGTTTTATTATGTTTTGAGGGTTTGATTTAAAACCACATCTACCCAAAAAATGTGAAGGAATTTCACAGACATAATAATGAGCAAAAGAAGCCAGACGCAGTGGGGTATGTTCTATGTGGTCCTATTATGTGACTTTCAAAATAGGCAAAATTAATTGATGGGGAGGGAGGGCAGAAGGGCCCCCTTTGCCGGACGGGGCTAGGGACCGAGGTCCTCTAGGGAAAGGGTGTGGGGGCCTTTGGGGGTGCTGCAAACCCTTCGCATCTTGACCTAGCTGGTGGGGGTTATACAGAGATCTCTGTGGGTGGGGAGAGAAGATGCTGCTGACATCAAGGACAATAAAGTTGGACACACATGAACTTCTATAAACCAATGGAGGCTTTTCCCTGTGAGTTTGTAAAAACATTCCCTTACCCTGTCGGCAGCATTCTCTGTCTCTGTAACTTGAGGCCATCTGATTATTTCCTCCCCCCCCTACATTTTATTATGGAAAATTTCAAACGTATAGCAATGCTGAAAGAATTTTACTGGGGTCACCCAAACACCCACCACCTGGATTTTATTGGTTAAAACTTTACAGTATTTGCTTTATCAAATATCTGTTTATATGACCACTTTTTAGTTTTTATTTTTTTTATATACTGTTTAACACATCGGCTGCCATGTGAGTTGGATTTAACTCAGGCTAATTTTGACCTCGGGGCTGCGTGAAACAATACCCTGTAGTTGGTTGGTGAAAATCTTACTTGTTGATGTTCTTATCGTTACAATTAATATTGACAATTTAATTCTAAAAGCGTGGTTTGTGTTGCATATAACCGATGCACAGAAAACAATAACAAATTAGAAAGGATCGTTCTGTTTTAATAAAACACCATGGCCCCAAAGGAAAAAAAAATTTTTTTTTCTAGTGTGGCTGTCGATGTGTTAAAGTGTTTTGCCAAACTATAGAAACCAAAGATAGGTATATGGACAAGGCAGAAGCATGGTTCACCTTGTTTCACTGTGTCCTATTTAGGATGACAATGATTTTTATTGCCTTTGAATTAACACGCTTTGAATTAAATCCTGAATCTCTGATACCAGGAGGCGACTTGCATTACCACCTCTCACAGCATGGGGTGTTTTCAGAGAAGGAAATGCGGTTTTATGCCACGGAGATCATCCTGGGGCTGGAGCACATGCACAGTCGGTTTGTTGTTTACAGGGATTTGAAGGTGAGGATGGTCAATGGACTCATTCTGCATAGTAGATATTGTGCCAACGGTCCCCTGGAAGTCCCCTCCTCTTTCCTAGCGTGCCCTCCTCTTCCTCATACATAGCCCTCGTCTCAGCCCTGGGGAAGCCGTTGTCTGTGCGTTGTCAGTCTCCCCTAGACCAGGCTCTGCAGGGACCCATTGCAGGGCCATCCCCATCATCTTTGTCACTCCGGTGCCTGCTACGGTGCCTGGTGCAGCACGAACACTGAGTGATTCATGTTAATTGACTCATTAATGAAAAGCAGGGTAGGAGTTTTTTTGGTGTCACCTATCTTATAATTAACTGTCTTAATAAATCCATGAATGTTCAACTAAGCAACTGATGTCGCCCCAACTCTGTGTCCAGAGATGAAAACATAAAGCATGTGTATTTTGCAGGGCGTATGAACCGGTGAACCAAGGCATAGAACGGCTGCATCCTAACTCCTCCCAGGCAAGGCCTGTCAGTGAGGGGTGCGCTACTGGTCAGCCAGCGAGATTTCTCCCAGAGGCCCCTCTCAGAGCTTTACGTTGTTTTGGGGGATTGCCTTAAAAACCGTTAAATAGATCTTTAGACCCCTGAACTATGCAACCTCTAACTGCTGTGCTTGGGTTTTCGTTCTTGTCCTCTGAGAGAGCTCATTGGCCTTGAAAGTAAGGAAATAGGAGCTTTCTGAGTTTTCTTCATTGCAGTCCACTGTGCTGGGCCCGCACGAAGGGGGGAGTCGGGAGCTTGCGTAATAAGTCCATGGTGTCACTCACCTGGTTGTGATGGGCAACAGCCCGAAGACAGGGATGGAACTAAAAGGGACCTCGACAAATTATAGAAGTGATTGCAGAAATGACTGTATGAAAACAGAAATAATAATGGGAAGAAAAATGATAAGAGTGACAATTTGCCAATAGGATGAGGCGATTCCAAGAGAATGTGTTTTCCACTTATTCCAAATTCCTTCTTGGAACCCACAGGGGCCGACTGAAATCCACAGATGATGTTCCTTCTCTAAAGAGCTAAGATGTCGTGGTTGGCTTTTTAAGGTTACCTTCTAAAATATTACAAAAATTACATTTTATTGTCGAGCATATTATTTTTTCTCAAAATGCTTTGTATATTTTAAAGCCTTCTGCAAGGTTAAAGCATTATTGCCTTAGTTTTCCTATGAGCATAAAGAAAAATGTTATTTTTATTGAATCAGAAATCAGACATTGGTTGGCATTTGACATTTTATTTCCTCATGTGATTACTGCAGAAGAATAAAATATATGCTGAAGGCCCACGGAGTCCCATTATAATACATTCTAATTTAAATCTATAACCGGTTTCTAATCATCTTTATGCTTTATTTTTTTTACTTTCTAAGCTATTTAGTAGGCAGTGGTATTATTTAATTCCTATTCAAACTTAATTCTAGTCACTCATGATTATTCATGCTTCAATTTTACAATAGCATGCCATTATCTTCGTTTCAAGCAAAATAATAGTTGATCTCCAGGAGAAAAACATTATTAAGATGACTATAATTCAATGTATATTCGAGAGAGGAGCTTTGTTTTTCATGGTTATGATGACTAAATCTAATCTTAATGGCTACATTTCATCAGAGTTGTGGTCAAAATCGTATCTGGTCATTTGCTAGGGGCCTGTGCTGCTGCTTTGCTAGCAAACAGAAATGACCTTCATCGGGATTCGTGTGGCACCGAGGAATATTTTGATGCCTTTCCGTTCTGTGCCTCACGGCTTCATGCGCACAAGTCCATGTGGGTCACATGAGCGAAAAAGCTGGTGGCCTTGCACCCCATTGCCAAGAGGCAACCTCGTTCTGGCTGCACTGCAGCTCTCGGCACGGGGGAAGGAAATGCTTTTAGCTCCGACAAACTGTGGTCTTAACCCTCCCGTGTTGCCTGCCTGCAGTTTCTTCCTCTAATGAGCAGAATCCCTCGCCTCTGTCATTGCCACTTCTCTTGCTGAAGTTAACATGAAAAGTACCACTCCCGGTATCATGCCCTTCTTTGCCGTGATAGTATAAAGCTGCTGTAATTCATGTTTAGGAACAAGCTATGTAAAAATACTAAGATATTAAGTAAGCGTCTATACTTTTAGTTCCCGAAGCCCCTCTGGCATGTGAGGGGCTCTCGAAGACCATATTCTCTTTCTGTTTAGCCAGCAAATATCCTCCTGGATGAACACGGACACGTAAGAATATCAGATCTCGGTCTCGCCTGTGATTTCTCCAAAAAGAAGCCGCACGCCAGTGTGTAAGTAGAGCGCCCCCCCCTGCTTGCTCCCATTTATTTCTCTGATGCCGGACGCTGGCCTAGCCATTAGTTCCCTCTCTTTTCTCTTGCCGGGGGTGATCTTTGATAGGTGATCCTGGCAGGGCAGGTGAAGATCCAGTGTCACAGGTTGTGCGGTGGGATAAGAGCAGTGTGCTTTCTGTCACTGTCTGTGAGGAGCATGAGTTGACCCGAGAGGTGACCGCACCTGCTCAGGGCCCAGGGCAGTCTATTGGGAAGGGTCAGGCCTCAGCAAGAAACCCAGTCATGCTGCCTGTGTATGACACTAAGTCAGTCAGCTAGCCTGTCTGACCCTCAGTCTCTTCATCTGTACGTAGAGGTGGTAGTGAATCCCTGAACCTTGTCATAGGATAAATGAAAGGCCCTGAGCCTAGGAAGGAGCAGCTACATAGATCTCTCTGAGGGAGGCCCTCAGGGCCAAGTGTCTCTCTCTCCATCTATTTTCTTTCTTTTTCAAAATGGCTTTTCTATTTTTTTTCCTTTATTTATTCTTTTGGATAAGAAATTAGGAATCTCCCCACTTGCACCCCTGCCCCCTCGCTTTTTAAGACATTGAACAAATCATCCACTTGCAGTTCAGGCTTCTGATGGGGGTCACACTGTTAGATTCGGGCTTTCCACCTGTACTCTAAGTGACCACTGGACGTAGCTCCTGAGACCACAGCCCTCAGCCAGCACTTGACACCCCAGTGGGCCCTGAACTGCTTCTGGGGGTGGCTGTGCTTCATCGTTGCACGGGGGGACCCTGGCCCAAAGACTTCTCTCTGAACCCGAGGTTGTTAAAAAGACTCGGGAGTGTCAGACAGCTCTCCCAGGCCCTGCAGAGACAGGATGGAGTATGCACAGGTTTTCATGTCTGTTTCTTTGGTATCAGATGATCTGGGTGGAAAATATGAACATGTGTGCAGATTGTGAAAAACAGGCAACTTTTGCTTTATTTTGTCTCTTTAAATGTCTCCTCCTTAGCAGCGAGTCTCTTGAAAATCACATTTTATTGTACATCTTGAGCTAACATTCATCTCTGTGTTGAATGGTCTTGAAGAAACTCCCAGGAGTCTCGTTTCATGCCCTCCATGCAGAAAATAAACTGCAGATCCTTTTCTTTGTGTGACTGGAAGTAAAGTGGTTCTGAATCGCAGTACTTTACAAGGGACTGCATTAAATCAAAACTGCCTTTTAAAGCTCTGATCAAATGTTAATAATGAATAGCACCATTTCTGTAAACATATTTCTCTTTTTCTACAGAATCTGGGATACTGTGATAAAAGCATTAGCATTTTGCTAGCACTTTACAGTGATTAGGCCAAAACCTGTGGTTGCAGAAGCTTCTCTCAGGGAGTTCTTTGGACATTTTTAAGAGAATCATTTGAATTTTTAATGCCCCAGCTATTTGGTATGCTAATTTCTTTAATTTAGTATAGTCATAACTGAATATGAATCCAAGAGTTCATAAGAGTTAATCTTCCAAAGGAATTAACTTCCAGACGTGGGGTTATGTATCTCCTGATATGGTCTAGCCCACTTTTGACTATAATTCACACACATGTCAGCTCTGAACGGTGGCCCTGGAAACCACGGTGTTTGAAGAGCATCTGTAAAAGGGTAGGGACTGGAAGGTTCTCCATGTTTAAATTATGATTGGGAGGCCACTACTTTAAAAAGATAAATGCACGACGGAACACTACATTTTAAAATGGAGGAGGCATCAGGAATGAAGCTTTTGGAGTCAACAGACCTTGCATTCCTCTTCCAAAGTTGTGTAAGCCTCATTTTCTCCTCCTTTGAAGAGGAGAGAGGGATGCCGTGCACCTCATGTGATAGCCGTGAGGGTTGAGTCGACTAATTAACTCAGCAAGACCGTCGAGCGTTTGCTGGGTGCCAGGTGCTGGTGATGCCACAGTGAGAGAGAACCAGTCCCTGACCCCCTGGAACCAGCAGCCCAGAGCACTCTGTCCATTAAATGACCAGAGTGGATGGGGCAGTGGCCGGGCTGCCAGCGTCCGCAGTGTTCTCGGCCAAATACCAGCCCGTCCCAGGCATGCATCGCTGACTGCTTTGACTGTGTTATCTTCATAGACATCCCATAAATTGTGGGTACCCATCATTCACTTTTTATCGCATGGAAATTGAGGGTGAGAGAAATTAAGTAACTTGAACCAGCCCCACATAGCTGGTCCACTGTGGGGCTAGAATTACAATCCAATTCGGTCCGATTCCAGAGCCTGTGTGCTCCTTACACCACACGGACGAACTCCCTGAGGCTTTGAAGTGATCTGCTGAGTACCAGATTGAAGATTGTTGGCCAGCATTTCACCCTGAACTTGATCTCTCAGGTCTTTTCAAAGCTAGAGATGTAACTCCTGGACTTCGTCTGGCAGCCAGCCCATCTGCAAACTAGTGTTACAGCGGAGCTTCCTGGTTGGAGCTCACACGTAATCCATTTAACGACGGAATCACAAATCTTGTAAACTAGACGTTAACCGTGGAGTAGCCGTGAAAAGTCAAAGGAAGACGTTTTGGAGTTGAGCGAATTGCCAGGTGGTGGCTAATTCGAGTCCTAGCTCATTTTTATCTAAGAACACCACAAAGCCGTGTCTCGTATCTCAGGGTCTCGGAATTTTCGTAGTGCTCACTCCATATCAAGAGTGGTATAAACCGTGGGCGGCAATGTTTCAGGAAGCATTAGCAGCTGTCGCGTAGGCAGAACCAGAGAACTGCAGGGACAGGCAGCCCAGCGTTAAGCGTGGAGAACCGATCCGTGCTGGCTTGTTTCATTTGTCCTCGGAACTGTCTCTCCTTCCAGAACGGCCGCTCGGCCCTGAGAGGCACAGTTAGGTAAGGGCTTCGTGGGCAACGCTGTAACTAACCCTTCCCGGGAAGTGGTTCTGATGCCCCTCGTGGAAATGCCCCGTGCTCTCACGGCACGGCTGGCTTGATGACCTCACCAGGCCCATCTTCCAATTCCGGATGATGGAGCCTTCCGGAGCGCTGGGGCCTGCCTCGATGGGCCAGCGCCCACCTCCACCGCTCGATGGAACTCCCCAAGTACTTGACCTCTTGGCCCCAGAGTACCGGTCCCGAAGGTGATCCGGGATCGTTTATTGGGAGTAGATTCCGTGCTATTTCGGAGCATGAGCTAAAAAGGATGATGCTAAGAATAGAGATTATTAAAATCCCCCGGCGTGGAGTTCTCCTCCTGCGCCAGCCCCGCCAGCAGCCCGAGGGGCAGAGGTGTGTACCTTATTGCCCATTCTGTGGATGAAGACGGTCAAGGAAGGATGAAGAGGCCTGGCGGGAATCGATGGTGGCTTCTGCGTGGCCCCCTTCGGGCTGCCCAGGCGCCGCCCGGCTCCTCACGCCCGAGCGGGCCTGCCCCGGCGTCCGAGCAGCGCGGGAGGGTTCCGGCAGGCCGGGCCGCGCAGCCGCGGAGGGAGGGCGCGCACCCGTGCGGAACGGCTCTCCGCCCACACGGCCGCCTTCTCGGCCTCCCGGAAACCGTCTCCACGCGCGCGCGGTGCCGAGTCCTTTGAATTCCGGCAGCTTTTAAAACCTGACGCGTGATTCCTCCATCCCACACACGCGAGGGCTTGCCCTGCCACTTCGTCTCCACACCACCCACCCGCACCCCGGGATCTGTCGCAGACTGCGGCCACCGAGCAGGCGGCCCTCACGCGGGGCACGCGGCACGGGAGGTGGCTCTGCCGCCGCGCGGGAGCCGGCGTCCCCAGGCCTCGAGGGCCCGCCGCTGCGGTGCGGTCGCCGGCCGCCGCCGTCCTCCCCCTCCACCCCACGCCCCTCTCCACACGGGGCCTCGAGGAGGGGCAGGAGAGCGTCTCCTCATAGCCCGAGCAGGGGAGGGGTAGCGAGATCCGGGCGTCGCCTCCCAGACTACAGAGCTCGCGTTTTCCGTGTTTGCCCCACAAGCGGCCGCTTGTTTGTCTACGGCCGTCCCTACACCAACAAAGGCAGCAAAGACTGTCTCCCACCGGATGCTCAAGGGCTCGAGTCTGCGTGGCAGCGGGGTGTCCCCCACTCCCACCCCGACTCCCACGCCGCGCTCACAGCGGTCGCCATCTTGGGGGCGGCACACCGCGGGCGGGCGGGCGTTCTCTGAGGCGGGCCCGCCCTGCTAATGGCGTGCGCCTCTCTCTTCACCAGGGGCACGCACGGGTACATGGCCCCCGAGGTGCTGCAGAAGGGGACGGCCTATGACAGCAGCGCCGACTGGTTCTCCCTGGGCTGCATGCTCTTCAAGCTTCTGAGGGGGTGAGTGAACCGCATCCTTTTGGCGCCCTCGGCGCGGCGCGGGGTCAGAGTGGAGACTGTTTAGAAGGGACGGGACCCCCGATGTCATTCGGAACCGCACGGGGATCTGTAAGCCGCGCGCTAATCTGGAAGACCCTTTCTGTCTGTCTGTCTGTCTGTCTGTCTGTCTCCTGAGAGTGGGGGCAGCTGTCCCGCAGGCTGCCAGGCCAGAGCCGCCGGCTTCTTACTGGTTTTATCCCACCTCGTGTCGGCGTCAGAACACTTTTAAGCCTAAAATAAGACCGCTTTGAAATGGCCCCATTGCTAAGCCGTGTTCTGGGAGTGAGTATTATGTTAAAATGTGGATAATTGAAGAAGATAGGATAGTTTCGTTTTTATTTTCCCTCCTAGAAATTAATTACTCATGATTCTCTTGTGAACTTAAAGCATTATGAGGGTTACAAAAAAAAAAAGAAAAAAGAGATAAAGACCCAGAGTAAACCCATTTTAAAGGTTTTCATTTATTGATAAGCATGCTGAAATTAATTTGTGTTTATAAAGCTAATATTATGCTTGACCTTTAAACTACCAAAGATGATAAAAATAGAGTGGAAGATGTTACCAGAGGAAAGCACTCTCAAAATGTATCCTCATGTTGAGCACGTAACAAGTTTGTTAAGGTTTCCATTAATTTTGAGACTTTTAGCTAATTTTAGGAGAGTTCGATTTTTTAAACGTTGTTTGCCGTCCACTCATAAAGATGCGATAAGCTAACTTAACGTTAGAATTTCCTGGTCAAGATTTTCCTTGTGATCTTTTCCTATGAACACAGTGCTGATGGTTTGCTAAACTTTGCACGTTTCCGTCAGAAAGTCTAACTGAGCACCACTGCATCCTCTTCTTATGTTTAGCACTGTTCGGAAGACAGGCCGAGTTCCAGATTGCCCCAAAACCAGGTTCCACGCACCCTCTCTGTTTCCTCAAGACTCTGATAATGTAGTTGTTCTCTGCGCACCACCGTACTCACTTGGGATCTCAAATTGTATTATTGCTTAGAAAGTCAGGTTCTGTTACTCCGTAATTGAATTGCTGTGTTTGTGGAGCCTGCATGGCCTTAATTCATGTCATCAGACTAGCTGACCTAATTAGAGAGTTTATGCTAAGTAACAGAGAAGGCCATTTCCCCTGCGAGGCCTGTTCTCCCCAGCAGGAGCCACTTGTGTGCAGAGGGAATGCGAGAAGACCCCCCAGAGTGGTTGCCTCTGCAGGAAAGAGGGTCGGGATGTGGAATCCCTACTTGCAGAATTCGGAGGTGATAAAACTCTCTGCAACAGCTAACCTTTCAGCATGGAAATCAACTCCTATAACAGGGAAATCTGCAAGGAAGGCATTGCATTTAGGGCTTGGCTTCTTTGTTTTGTTACTCTGGTTGTTAGGATGTCCATGCATAAAAGAGCTGGGGAGGGTTTGGTTGAATTATTAACTCTGTATGATCCAACAGTGTGGTTTGCGGCTAGTAAAACGAATTCAGCCTCGGTTGCCATAATTCATGTTTGGAGTATCGAACTGGAAGGTATGAATTCCTTTGTGAACTCCTCGAGGGGCCTTGACTGAAGATCCTGTTCGGTGTGGCTCTTTTCGGGAAGAGCCTTGGTGGACAGGGCATGCAGAGGCTGCTCAGGAGGGCGGGGTGGACGGAGGAGTTGAGTCGAGAGATGGGGAGAGCTGAGTATAGAACTTGGGGGAGACGTATCGGTTGGCCCCAGCTATTGGAAAGCCGTCTTACTGAAGGGGTCACGTTCATGCTGCATGGCGCCAGAGGGTTTGGCATTTTAAAGAGAAAAAAGGTTGCAGTTTGATACAAGAATGTCCATTCAAGCATTCGAGCTGCCCAATGAAGGAGTGTCCTGCCTCCCAGATAGCAAGCTCCCTGTCACTGTCCGGTGGCCATGTATTGAGCCTGAAGTAGAAAGAGTCTTTACAGGGCATGGTAGATAGGATTAGATGAGTCTCCCCCCTAAGATGTGTGGTCTTACGCTGTGCTTTCTACTCCTCGTTCAGTAGTCCTTTACGTACAGGAGATAGCACTAAAACCAAAGAGCAGGAAGTACTTTTTTGACTTAAGTGATTCAAATTAAGCTCGATAAGCATTTACTGAGTACTTGTAATATACATGAGACGGTGCTTGGTGCCCGTGGGGGAAGGAAGGGAGGGAGAGAAGGAAGAAGAAAAGGAGAGAGGGAAGGAAGGAGGGAGAGAAGGAGGGAGGGAGGGAGGAGAGGTAAGTTGCAGTTAGTCCTTAGGGAAGGCACGGCCCAGGGAGTGGACAGAGGCACACACAGGACCCTGAGCTGGGTGGCCTGCACCACCCACACCGCAGTGGTGCTCCGGGGAAGCACACGTGGGAGAACCATTCCCACTTGGAAGCCCGGGTCTGGCTCCAGGTCTGGGAGCAGGCTTGGAAAGGTAGATGGATGAGATAGCAATACAAAGACTAGGGTAGGGAACAAACCTGTTTTCCCCATTTGTTTCTCGTTTCTCCAGAGGGGAATGGGTGCTGCTGGGGAGCCTGGGTGGGGGCGGGAGGGCCTTGGATGCCTTGCCATGGAGTCGGGCCTTGGTCCTCCAGGCCCAGAGGCTGCACGCTTTTAAGCAAAGGAGCCATGCGGTGGTTGGGTGTTTCCCAGTGAGGTGGCTCTGGTGGCAGCAGGGAGCACGGGGTTGCAAGGGCAGGAGGCAGGCCCGGGAACCTGGGTACAGCGGTGCCGGGCTGGGCCAGAGCACATGACACAAGGGTGGTGCTGCAAAGTTAAAGGCCATGTGCTCCAGGGCTTTTGTGGGGTGGCTGAGCTTTTTTGTTTGTTTCTGTTTTCTATAGGTGGGGTATGGAAGGGTAGGAGTTAAAGATTGTGCCAGTTTAGAGTCAAGATAATTAGGGGAATCACAATATCATTGCCGAAATCAGTAACTGTGAAATTTCAGTGGTTCAGATGAAACTGAGGTTTCTGGGAGCTGTTTGAGGAGCAAAGCCTTGTGACAACGACGAGGTCAGCAGGGGCAGCAGGAGATGGGACTGCCCCTGGGAGGCGTCACTCCTTGGCTGCAAGAAAGGAGTAATGCCACCTGCTCTGCCTCCTCTCAAGAGTTGCATGTGGGAAAACCTCAGAAACATGTCTGTCGGCGTCCTGTGCGTTTTTCACATGCTGTACAGAAGGGAGCCCCCTGGCAGGTGTCTCTTCTCAGGCCCCCGGGGGCCTAAGTACTGAAAGGAGTGGGGCAGGAGGTTGAGTGGGCAGTGGCCAGGCAGGGCCCGCCCTGGGTGCAGGCTCTGGGGGCAGCCTGTCCCCTCTGCATCCTGGCGCTCTCCTGGGGTGGCCGTTCTCAACCCCAGCGGGCACTGAGCAGTGCCTGGGGACGTTTTTGGTTGTCATAACTTGGGGGCCCTTTTCTGCTTTTATTTTCTGTGATTTAATAATCCTCTCATTGACTGCTGTGTCCCACTATTTCTGCCTAAGCACCTTTCTGCACCCCTGATTTTGCCTTGGCGCCCCAGAAGAACACTGCAGGGCATTCATCTGGATGGGGCAAAGTTCTCAGGGCTTGAGAAGGTGTTTTCCATTCCCAGATTCGCAGTGATGAACTGCATCATGCATACACCACATTTCCTGTGCTGGTCACTACTTCCATTTCAGATGACTTTGTTCGATATTTAAGAGCATCTATGTATGAAGATTACATCCATGCTGCAAATCTGTGAAATCGCTGTCATGACCCACAGTCTATATTTAAGATGTCTGTTAAGGAAAAGAATTGATGTGACGAGAGCCTTGATCTCAAGCTTGTCACCGTTCCTTGTCCATCGCAGTGGTGTCAGACCTAGCGAGAGAGCCCGGGTGACGGCCTGGGGACAGCTGAGCGCTGCCTGGGGTCTTGAGTTTGTTCTATGTAGGGAAAAAAGGAAAGTTTATAAATATTTTGGCAGGTGTTGGCTTAGGTTCAAAACGCCTATTTAATATAACGTGCAATCTTTTTGGTGTTCTAAAATTAACTTCTGCCAAGAGAGTTTTGAGTCTCTTGCAATTACAAATGCATTGTGTTTTTCAGCTCATTGTTTCCCTGTGAATGTGACGTAGCTAATGCGGGCTGTGCATGCACCGTTCCCCGTTGTTTGTCCTCTCTCGGGACAAGTTCCCGAGAGGAGACTGTGTGCAGCTGTCTCTCTCTATTTGGAGTTCAGAAAGCTGCACATGTGAATCCTTTTCCCACGACACTCCCTGCTGGAGCCGGAATGCCGCCCGTGGTGCTGGAGAGCTGGACTCTGCCCGGGGAGCTGTCGCAGGCCCGTGGCCGTCTCCCCTTTCAGGCGGGCCACACCAGGGCGCAGCCGCGATCACCCGGCTCTGCGGGCACCACGTGCCTGCCTCAGCGTGGAGATTGTCACTGTCCTGGGTTTTCTTTAATGTTTTCCAAAATAGAAACCAAGTCCTCTGGCTTAGTTCACAAAGAACAATCAAGAATACATTGGAAACAGATGCGCGTCAAGATTTTTCAACCGGAGAGACCAAACCGGTCTCCATCTGCAGAGCCTTTGCGGATCCTTCCTTACGGAGTCGCACTCGGAATCGCTGTGCTAGTAAGGGACTTTGTGGCACCGGGGCCCATGGGCTGCGAGCGTTTTTGGCACCTGGCCACCTCTAACTCCAGTCCCTGCACGAGCCTCCCTGTGGTCTCACCAGAGACTCTGTGAGTTCAGCAGAGAGCGTCTGTGTCGGGCACAGCCCTTCCCTGCAGACGCAGGGACGCGGGGTCGAGCCCAGGCATGGCGTCCTCCAGCTCTGCACGGAGGAGCCAGGCCCCACGCCTTTGCCCGAACACAAGGACAGCGTCACCGAATCATTTTGTAGACGCTAAGGGCCAGGCTGGGATGAAAACAGCTAAGTGTCAAGCAGAGAAACCGAGGTTTTAATAAGATTTAATAAATGTGTATTCCTTTCCTCTGGAACTCTAAACATGTTAATATCTCTGTGGATTTTTGTATGAAAAGAATCATGCGAGTATATTTTTTAAAGTTAAAATCTTATAAATAACGGATATGGTTTGTTTTGACATCCTATCTGCTTTTTAATTATAGTAATTATACATTTTATCCCTTAGAAACAAGATGAAAAGAATACTTCCAATCAAAACCTACCTTAAAAATGCTTTTGATTTTTTTTTCAAATTCTTTTAAAGAATGGAAATTACTTTTCATTTCAGTGCATGATAAGGAAGAAAATAAGGCGCTAGAGTGCCCTCTCTTGTACAAAAAGAAAATTAAAGTATTTAAGGCAAATGCTCTGAAATGTAATAATCTCTTCAAGAGATGGTTCAATGCCTAACTTTGAATTCAGTAGGCTGACCAGCTAGTAGCAGCAAGTAGCAGAGCAAGGACAAGTGGAATTTTAATTCATTTTTAGAATCCCATTGATTCATACGTTCAACAGTCTAATCCATTTCATGGAGTTAATATTAAAATATTTTACATAATATCTTGCCTCAGATTATGTCATATATGCCTTATAAATAAATTTACAGGATTAGTCATTTTACTGTCATGTCTTATTATAAGAAAACTCAATCATATATATCCCTTTGTTAATTTTCAAATAAATAAATAAGGCCATGGTTTTCTACTTTGCATATTTAATAGTATTATTCAATGATAAGATTTCCTTTAAAAGCCAACTTCTCCGGAGTTTTAAAAACACAGTAATAAAGAGTGAGAATAGTTTGTTTTATAGTTTACCAAGTAGGTATTCATGTTATAAAGCAGGAGTCACCTTTACTAATTTCACCAGTGGTGACTATGTTGGGCAGCTACCGTATACTGCCACTGCCCTGGCTACTCACACTGATGAGTAGTGTGTTTCCCCGAAAATAAGACCTACCCATAAAATAAGCCCTAGCAGAATTTCTAAGCATTTGCGCAATAGAAGCCCTACCCTGAAAATAAGACCTAGTGATGGGCATGGCAACACAGCACGTCTGCACAACCCATGCATGTCGTCGCGGAGTGGTAAAGACGACAAGCAGCCCTTGTCATCTGCCCCACGAGAGCTCTAGTGCTCGACATGAGAGGTTGGGGCCAATGGTTCTAAAGGAAATAGAGTCGCAAGAAATTCAGGATGGAATTCAGGGTTTGGAGAGTTCTGATGATGTTCCAGAAGAAGACGACTTAACTCTGTGAATAAATGTAGATTGTTGTACCGTACTTAAAAAAATAACACATCCCCTGAAAACAAGCCCTAGGGTGTCTTCTTGAGGAAAAATAAATATAAGACCCTGTCTTATTTTCGGGGAAACACGGTATTTTAGTTTTCTCTTCACCACTTCTGTGAGGGATGTGGCATGATCCCCGTTTTACAGATGAAGAAATTGATCCTGAGGGTTCATGTCTGACTCACAGCCAGTAAACACCCAAGCCACAACTCGGACCCAGCTTTTTCCGCCTGCAGCCCGGGGCCCTGCACGGGGAGACCAAGAGCAGCACTCAGAGCCCTGGAGGAGCTGCTGGCGTGTGGTTGGTTTATCTCGGTTTCCATCCAAGGGAGGCACTGCCTAACATCACTGGTTTCTGGGGGCGAGTCATGCTCACCTCGGTCGTGTTGGATTGTTGGAGGGGACCAGGGTCTATCATGCTGGAATAAATGTACAAAAAGCACTGTTAGCTCCAGCCCTCGCATGACACATGTTACATAAGTGACTTTCATTTTCATGACTACCTGTTGGCTTAGTATATATTTTTTCCGAATGCTGTTTCAATTGGAAAAGCATATTTTCGTGCCACGAGTTCATTGACCTAAGGGTCAGGCAGTTCAGGTGAAGTGTAAGTATTGCTCTTCCGGGACCTGACATGTTTGTTCACTCGTTCTCCTCTGGAAGTGATGCATGTTTACGGCTTTTGTTACCTCTGTGGTTTTGAATGGACAGTGGCAGGGATGTAATGCTCCACCCAAATATTAGTCGGTGATTTGTGCTGGGTTACCAGGTGCTGTATTTTAATGGAACATTCCTTATTCCTGCAGTCACAGCCCTTTCAGACAACACAAAACCAAAGATAAGCACGAGATAGACCGGATGACACTCACCGTGGTAAGGAGATTAACAGCTTTATTCTTATCTGCATCGTAATTTTGATGTTTCGTTCCATGAATAATAAAATGACTGTCATATAAATATATAATAGAAAAGATTAGGTATGAAGATACAATTCCTAGAAGAATTCCTAAAAGAAAAACCAATGTAAATAGATACTGAGACAAAAAAATCAAGATTTGCTCATAAACAGTGTGGGAAAGATAGAAAATTGTGAAACGAACATGAAAGAAATCAAATGAAAGGAGAAATTACTGAGATGCAGAAGAATGGGGAGGCCTTCTGGTTCTTCTGATCTGGCCGTAGCCTGTTGACTGGTTTTACAACTTACCAGTGTGACCTTTTCATGTTTCTTTAGAGTAAATATTAATGTACAATGAATCTGCAGTTTTTAATACTGTTCTTATCCAAGAAACAGCCTTCAAGTCTAGCTGGTTGGGAGGACGCTGTTCCGTGAGTGGGCTTTTGAAATCTCACTCTTCTTTTCCCCAGAATGTGGAACTTCCGGAGACCTTCTCTCCCGAACTGAAGTCCCTTTTGGAGGGCTTGCTCCAGAGAGACGTCGGTACGCGGCTGGGCTGCCACGGTGGCGGGTAGGCCATGCTCCCGCCTTGCCGTGTCTCTGCCCCAGTGGTGAAACTGCTATTTTTAATACTGTGTATCAAAAGTCAGTCCCAGTCCTTAAAATCTTTCACTTTGACTTGAGGCGGAAAAAGAAATCACATGGGAGATACATATGCATATACGCGTATATCGTCTTACGTGTTCTGTGATTCCGGAGCTGAAGAAGTCGCTAACTTCACAGCTTTGAAAATTTAACTTTGTAAATGATAGAACTGAATTCTGATATTTCATAGTTCATCTGGCTAAGTTTTAGTAATGATTGTATTTATGATTATGGCAGTTTAATATTCTCAGTTTCTCACACATTTACCTTCGTGCATAACTGAGCAGCTGCTATCTTATACATGCTTTCTGTTCTCTTGCCCTTGCCGGCCCCCCAAAAAACCCAAACAGTGATATCTGGAAACTTATAGAGAAGGGCTTAACACAGAACTTTCCCCTGTCTCTCTCCATCCCCAGACTTGCCTCACATAAGAAACAACTTTTAAATATCTGGCACATGTATGTATGGCTCATATGTGTGTGTGTGTGTGTATTTTTAGAGTAGCATGTATGTATGCATATGTATTATACCTATATACAGGTATAATACAGATAGGTAGCTAAATAGTGTATTGAATGCATATTTCCTTATTTATCAATTTAGAAATCACCTATTCCTACTATAATGGATGAAGATTTACCTCATTCGTTATTCTCTGTAGCCCTCCCTCTCCCCCACGTCTGTTTTTGGTTCCTTTTCTGCTTACTTTTGAATCTTTAAAGTATTTGCTTACCCAGTTGTGCCTTTTTCCACCAACTATAAATGTAATCTCTTGAGCCCCCACTTTATACAACGAGGATCTTGACATTCTTCTCTTTCCTTGTCTTCTCTCTCACTGATTTCTACCATGTTCATTTTTATGTTTACATTGTCAAATCAATACTGTTTACTCTCTATTTTGTGACCAGAATCTATCATAATTAATCTTTGCACATTGCATATAGGTTGATTTCAAAAGTTGCAAATGAAGTAGGATTTACTTTATTGTGGCCACATAAATGCTGTTCACTGCATAGTTTCTATTTAACCTGATAATAAACCTTAAGTTTCTATTTATACACACACACACACACACACACACACACACATTATCTATGCAACACATGTAATATGATATCTATCTTAAAAGATAGTATCACAGTTGTAGACGTTCATTTGTCCCTCATTTCTCTTTCCTGGAGGACTAAGCTGGCAGCTCCATGAGAACCGAAGGTGTTTCTATTTCTACTAATCATTGTCGTCCCACTCAACACTCCCCTGCTTACTCTCCAGATCTGACTCTGCCAGTCACTCCGTCCCCTGCCCTTTTAGCTAGAGCCTGTCCTTAGCTCTGCAGCGAGGAGCTATGAGAGCTGAAATGTCCTCCTATTGTCTTCAGACTTGACTAATAGTTAGGCTAGATGTAGAATCCTAAATCAATAATAATTTTCCCCCAGAACTTTGAAGCTACTGCTTTATTGTGTACAAGGGAACAGTCAGTGCTGATCACGGAGCTCAGTTGTCACTCATGGCAGGCACTTAGAGTCCCTTTTGCTCGAAGACTAATGTTCTTCAGCTTGGAGAACACTCTTATTTATTTGACATTTCTTCTCCATTTGTCTTAGAACTCTTATTATATGGATCTTGGGATTTCTATATTAGTCCTTTATGCTCCTCGTCTTATATATTTTCTATATCTTTGCTTTGATTTCCTTCCTTCCTTCCTTCTTTCCTTCCTTCTGTCCCATCCTCCCTCCCTCCCTCCCTCCCTCCCTCTGTTGCACAGACTGGAGTACAGTGGTGCAAGCATAGCTCACTGCAGCCTTGAGCTCCTGGGCTCAAATGATCCTCTCCCACCTCAGCCTCATGAGTAACTAGGACTACAGGTGCACAGCACCACATCTGGCTAAATATTTTTATTATTTTTTATTTTTTATAGAGACTGGCTCTCACTGTATTGGCCAGGCTAGTCTTGAACTCCTACCTCAGCCTCCCAAAGTGCTGGGATTATGGGCGTGAGCCACCACAGCTGGCGTGTTTTACTTTCTGATAGTTTAAATTTCCCACCCTTTCATTAATATCTTTAAAAAAAGAAACTTCAGCAGGTTTAATTTCTTAAAAGTAGAATATTTCATGGGTTCCCCCCCAAATTAGAATAAATGCCTGGCTGCAGGTGTTTGGGGACTGGATGTGTGGGAAGGAAGTATGGTGTGTGTGGGCATGCATGCGAGTGTACATGCGTGTGCACACGTGTAGGAATGCATGCTGGTCAAGGTCAGAGAGGTTCCATGTGCAACGACTCTGGCCCTGTTTGCTGTCAGTGGCCGGCCCTCTGCGCATCCCTGTCCTGTCTGCTGCTGGCCCTCTGCCACTCCCCGTGGAGGAACGATATCTCCACGTTCCTCTCCTGCCATTTCAGGGATTGCCGGGAAGGAGCAAAGTTGCACACTTGTGCTCTGTCACCGGCTTGGACCAGAATCTTCCCTCTGGGGTATTTTTGATTGCTTGGACATGTGCAGGCAAACTACTTGTTTAGCTTTCCCCCGTCTAATGTGCAGATGGTGATGGGCACAGCATGGAACACAACAGGAAAGTCAACTCACTGTTTCTGCTGAAAATGCAAAGGGGCAGCTCTGACTTAGTTCCATCCCTCCACCCTGTGAATATCCGCTGGGCACACCAGACGTTTCTAAGTGTCGGGCTGAGGCAGCGCACGGGGGAGGCCCGGCCATCGCAGGCACAGGGCTTCACGAGGGGGGGCTCAGAGGCAGAATCAAGTCAGCCGGGGTCCAGAAGAGCCAGGTCCCGTGGGCGCCAGGCCTGGCTGTGAGTGACAAAGGGAAGGCTTGGGAGAGATTATCTGTGCACCACGTGGAAGGAGACGGGTCTGCAGTCTGCGGTAGGCAGGAGTGGAGGCCGGGGCAGGTAGGAAGCAGTCTGGTCTGACACCGAGCCTAGGGCGGCTGTGGAACAGGAGGGAAGAGAGGCTTCAAGGATGACAAGGGAAGCGTCAAGGACGATCCTGGCCTTTAGCGCAGGTGCAGGTCCCAAGGGTGCTGCTTTGAGCCCTCCAGCCTTGTCTGAGCGGGTTGTGGAGCAAGCCTTTGGGTGGGGGCCCTTTTGGAGCACAGGACAAAGGATAGTGCTTGGGACTATTTGGGAGTCACATAAAGGCAAATAAAGTCACTTGACCCCCTGGGCTGGGCAAGATGCCCCAGGGACTGACTGCAGAGAAAGGCCCCGAGGGCCGGGCGTGGGCTCTGCAGCGGAGAGGGGAGTGCCCGAGGGCTGGGAGTGCCCGCCCCCACGTGGGCTTTGCCTCCGAGGACGCAGCTTCTGTTCTGCGTCCACTGAGCTCTCATCGTGACCTTTAAGAAAACAGTTCCTGAAATTTGCTAGGGAGTTTGGTATGCACTGTATTATTAGATTTCTAGTTTGCTCCTAAATAAATATCTGATGCTTGATATTCCTGTCGTTTTCCTATCATACTGCCCATCATGCCTTGTAGACATTTGCTGTAAATTTCTTTCAGGTGTAGATCTCCCACTTGATCCTTATTTCACTTATGTTCTCACAACTACGGAATTATTGCGTGTGCGTGAGTGCGTATATACACCTGTGAAAACTTCTAGGTTATCTTGACACCCCAGATAAATGACCCTGTGGGATAATATCCCTGGGTGTAACATGGAGCATTTCTCAACTCACTGCGTTTCCTCTGTTGCTTTGAAGGAAGCCTTATTTTACTTGCTTTCTTAAAGAACTGGAAACAGTTGTTCTTCTATGTTCTTAATAATAGGAGATAATTTTTGCAAAATATTTCTTATATTTCCAAATGCATACTCAGCATTGTTATGACTCTTTCTTTCCCCTCCAGTGCACAGGAAGTAAAACAGCACACTTTTTTTGGAGGCATTGACTGGCAGCATGTCTACTTGCAAAAGGTATTCCCTTACTCTGCTGCTTTGCTCTGGGCACTGCCGGCCGTGCCTGCGCTCTCATGTCTGTCTGTCTGTCCCTCTCTCTGCCTCTCCATGTACTGCTGGCCTCCTGGCTGTGTCCCCCCAGGTCCCCATCCCAGCTTCCTGTGTCCACAGTGCTCTGGGGGATACACAAAACACCACAAGTTAATTTCATTTAAAATGTTGATTATCAGCTTTGGGCTTGTTTTTGCATGAACTCAAGCTGCAGAGGAATGATGATTTTCTGTAGGGAAGAGCAACAACTCTCCCAGTCCTGCCCAGTTAAGAGTTGGAGTTCGAGCCCTTGCTCGCGTTAACCTTGACCTCAGGGCGTCTGCAGGTGTGCAGGGCTCTGTCCAGGCCCCTGGCGTGTTCTGGCTCCAGCAGCTCGAGCTGCCTCACCTTCTTAGGTTGAGCTGCAGGGCTGTGCAGTCTCGGCTATATCTAAAAATTCTTTAAGACTTTAGGCATGCGTCCTTTTTTCCTTGACTTTGGTCTACGCAAAGCAAACCCTGCTGAGCAGTTGGGTACAAAGGTATGAAATGTGTGATGTGATTTGTGCAGAGCTTGGACTTGATGCTGCACAGGGGATAGGGCCCTAAAGGCCGTCTGATAACCTGATAACCTCACCTGCCTCTTCCAGTACCCGCCCCCCTTGATTCCCCCCCGGGGAGAAGTCAATGCTGCTGACGCCTTTGACATAGGCTCCTTTGACGAAGAGGACACCAAAGGCATTAAGGTATGCATACGCCTGTCTCTTTTTTTCTTTCTTTTTCTGAATGCAGAGAGTTTCTGTTGGAAACCAGTTAAACATGGTGATTGTTTCAGTATTGGGCTGTTGGTGGAATGTAACTTGCAAATGAATATCCACATGTTTGAAGAATGTGTAAGTTAAAAGCCATGAAATCTTTGTTTGGACTAATAGTTTTATTTTTGATGAGCTGCAAAATGGTAAAAATCTTCATTTCTTTGGGATATCTGTGATTGAAATAAAACTTGAATTGTATATGAAGCAGGAAAAAACCACTGTGTGATATCAAACATACTTAGCCTAATGCAGAGGAGCCAGTCTTCTTAATTTTTGTAAGTCTTTAGCTCTCCCTGTGTTAGGATGAAAAGAGCAAACAGTGTGAATCATTTTGCATTTGTCAATCAAAGGGGGAATAATCACTATTTTTTTATATAATCCTCTGCATTTTTCAAACCTTGGTTCATATCATTATTTCTCCAAGTAGAGACAAGACATAATTAGAGATGTGAGTCATGAGAGAAAATCATCCTCTTTAAGATGCTAAGTCAAAGCTATCACTACCCGTCAAGCTGTCACCCACCCCCATGCTGACAGCTTGCCCCGGGCTCTCCCGACTCTACCCCCCACCTCAGCTGCCTGCGTGTATACCCGATGCGAGGCCCCTTCATTTTCCCCACCAAGCTGCTTTCCCCTCCAGAAGGCTGCAGCCCCATTAAAACACACGCCTGGCAGGCGTAGATAAAAGAATGACAAGTAAAATGCCAGGGTCTCGCAGGGGCTCTAACTGGAGACAGCCAGGACTTGGACCAGCCGGGCTTGGAGACAGACATGGCTCGAGGACGATGGAGGGCTGTTGGGGGTGAGAGCAGCTATTGGGAGCAGCACGCAGAGGCCAAGTGCATCAGGGAGCTGGGAGCCGCAGCTGGTCAGAGCAGGTGGCACCAGGACGGGAGGGTCTGGGACCTAAAGGTGATTAGGGTATTCACAGACCAGCTCCCCAGGAGGAGGAGGTTCGGTGAGGGTGAAACGCAGAGAGCCCAGGCCACAGGCTAGGAGGATTGCCGACCATGGTCTAGGTCAGTGGCCATCCTGGGAGCAGCAACAAGACTGGGGCCCAGGCCTGTGCACCACCAGGCACCGTCTGCAGCCCACAAGGTCAGTAGCCGGCAGGTGTCTGAGTGCGACTGTGCACCTGTGCTTTGGGGAACAATCCACTCGCGATGCTATTTAGAAGGATTACTGCCGTCACGACAGACTCTTGTCGTCAGATGTCCTACGCCCCATCAAAGGGTGCTAAAAATAAAACCGCTATTTTACGGGAGCTTCCCTCCCCCCAAATTTTGGATGCTAAAAAGAGATTCTCACACTTTAACATTTTGTGAACCAAAATGTAGGCTGTGGAGTGAGGTCGCCTGGGCTCAGATCGGCCATGTGTCAGCTGAATGGCGTGACCTGCTGATGCCTGCAGGCATATGTGGTCAGTGCTGGACTAACTAGTAGTTTCTACTGTGAGGGTTTGGGTTCTTCCTGAGCAGGAGCCGAGAAAGCGCACACTCTGAACGAGGAGTCGTGAGTGCCTGGGACTCAGCCAAGGTCATGGCCCCATCATGGCCAAGTCTAGCAGGGGAACTGCATTTTAAGAAACTATCTATGCTCTTTATCTTTAAAAATCAGCCCAAATAACACGTTGCTCTTTAAAAAAAAAAAAAAAAGAAAGAAAAGGCGGGGGGAGGGAAGGTCACCTCTTACAAACATAAATTCTCTTCTTTTTTTTTTTTTATTATTCATTTTCAGCAGCATGGGGTGAGTCATGAAGATCAAGGCTTTCTGAAATTATAGGCAGTAGGGCAGTTTGTACAGCAGAGCTGCCCGTTTCAGAACAACTCCCCAGGGAAGGAATGCGTTTTGACTGCTGCTGACTTCTCAGCGCCTGTCCCAGCGTCCCAGGGTGCCTGACCACGGGTGTTCATGGGGCCTTGGTCTGTAGCACCCCATCACTCACACTTACATACACACATGTGCATATATACACACATATGTGCGTGTGTACACACGCCTCCATTCACATTCAGGACAACCAAGGATTTCAGCTCTGGGCTTAGATGAGACATCTGAAGAAAACGGAAAGGGGGAAAGTGTCACGGAATCAAAGGGATCTCGAAATCTACACCTTATTACACGACATCAGTAAGATTAGCTGGGTTAGGCAGGCCCCAGCTTGGGGTGTGAGATGCAAGTTCTTCCAATGTTCCATTGACTTGCTAAAGGATCGTGGGGAGGGGCCTTGGACTTCTTGCTCTTTCTTGTCCTTCTAAGTACCCTGCCTGTGATCATATCCATCCTTACCTATCTCAGACAGAGAAGTGAGCAAACCCAGTCTCTAAAGAGGTTTGTGCTTCCAGCAAGACAAATGTGTTTCTATCGGAAGTGTGGCTAGCATTTGCCGTAAAACTGTAGCTGATGCATAAAACCATTTACTTTGTTGATATTTAAAGTGCAGCTTTACCTAGTGGGCAGAAGGAAGAATTTCGAGTAATTGTTTGATAGAAAAATGCTATCGTTAAGTGTAATTTTTATTACAGCAACTTTTAAAGGCTGTGTTGCCTAAACCATCCATGTATCTTGAGCTTTGTACTTATACATGTGGTTATGCTATTAAACTTTAAAAAGTTGGAAGTTTCACAAAATTAATGATAGTAAGTGCAGCCTAGTTTACCTTTTGTTTTTCTAACATTTCAGATTCATCGAGGGGAGGTTAGAATGGCTATCTCCCTTAACATTGTTTCTAAAACCATAAGGATCTATTTTTATAAGGAAAATATCCTCACCATAATTGAAATTTTACTTTGTTGTCAGAAGCTTTTATTCCTGCAAGTGAAAGCCTGCCTCTGTTAGTTTTCATTGGCAAAAATGTCCTAAAGATAGTATAGGAGATTGGGCCGAGCCTTACCAACCTGGGTCTGAAGGTGAAGTGCAACTGGGTTCTAGGTGTTTGTGGGTCCCGGTTGCTTGAGCTTTCATTAGCGGGGGTTTAGGATAACTGATACACCGTCTGTACATGCTCTTGTGCTGTCATCTGGCTGTCTTCCTCTGTTGCGTTGTGTGACCCAGTTACCGTGAATGTGGCGCTGTTGCCCTTGGAAGTTCATTAAATCAAAAATGTCTTGATTTCTTAATATAACCAGCTGCTTGATTGCGACCAAGAACTCTACAAGAACTTCCCTTTGGTAATCTCTGAACGCTGGCAGCAGGAAGTAGCGGAAACGGTTTACGAAGCAGTAAACGCAGACACAGATAAAATCGAGGCCAGGAAGAGGGCTAAAAATAAGCAGCTCGGCCACGAAGAAGGTAAAACAGCAAATGTGTCTCAGTACGTTTCTAATGCAATGAGTTTTCAACATTTCTTGTAAAGTTGAAAGAGGATTGGGGTCATAAAGTACTTTTCAGTAGAGAAGAAAGCAATACCATAAATCATGTTGGTTTTCTCTGCTCTGGAAGAGCTCAGTGTAATATTTCAGTCTTCAGTCAGCTCATAAATAAAAGTGTACAGAGACAGCAGTATTTTGTTAGTGTGTCCTCCTACCTTGCAGTGTTCCGGGACTGGTTTGGAAGTTTTTCCTTGAAGATTGAGTCCTGCTGTACCAGGAACAGGGCTGGCACCATTGACGAGCTCCTGTGCAGTCACACATGGCACCAGGCTTGGTTTAAGGCTCTGTGATGATTTTTGAACAAAGGACCTACATTTTGATTTTCCACTGGGTCCCAAAATGCACATAGCCAGTCCTGGTAAGGAACCCGGCATGACATGAGAGATAAACATATAAACACATTTCTATTACAAACTTCAATAAAGAATTGCCAAACTGTATTTTTATTTAAAATAATCAGGTGCCCTATTTGGATTTCCAAACTAGGAAACATAACATCAAGAATTACATAAGTCAGTCATTCTTGATTCCCTAAATATTACTGCTCTGGATTTTTCTAGGATTTTATGAATTTTGGAATTTTAAATTGTAGTTGGATGATTATGGTAAGATATTTCATTTTACCTCTGAGCAAAGACTCTTATGAGGTTAACTTTGTATTGAAGAATTTGTAAGAATGACCAGAAACATTTTCACTCTCTTCATAGGTTACTTAGGCAGTGGCATCTTGGTATACAATTCACTGGTCTTATCTGTCTATTTCCCTGTAGCTTTTAAAGTGCCCTCCATCACGGATGACTTACCCCATATAGAAGTTGCCAGAATGTTCCAAGGGAGCAGTACTGTACTTCTTTAGACTGCTCACCTCAATTCTGCAGGGACATGGCCCTGATTTGTAAACTCTTCAAAGAGGACTAGTCCATTGCCATCACACGGGGCTGTGTTTGCCATAGCAGATTTCACACGGGACATTGTGTCCATGCTAATTTGCTCAAGGGAGGGCCATAATCTCACTAGAAATCTGAAAAATTGTAGAAAAAATCATGTGTCTTAATAACCTATTGATGTACATCGTTTTAATTAGACAGAACACCTAGCAAATTAATGAATTTATCTTCATATGTTAGTAAGTAAATTATGCCTAACTATGTCTTGGTCAATGATCCGAAAAGTCACCTTTATAGAAAAATATAGTCTAAACTTAGACCTCTAAAAAAAAAAATTCAATACAATTTGCCGTCTGTATCTATGAGTCTGCATCTTTGCATTCAAGCAACTACGGATTGAGAATATTTGAAAAAAAAAAAACCAAGATAACAATACAGCAATAAAAATAATGCAAATAAAAAACAATACAGTGTAACAGCTGTTTACATAGCATTTACATCGTATTAGGTATTACAGATAATCTAGAGGTGATTTAAAGTACACGAAAGGATGTATGTAGGTTATATGCAAACACTCCGTCATTTTATATTGGGGATCCGAGCAGCTGAGGATTTGGGGTCAGTGGTGTCCTGGAACCACACCCCACGGTACCGGAGGGAGGACTCACTCTCACCTTGGAAAGACTGCGGAGGCGCAAGCACTGTTTTGATTAAAAGGCAACTCCACAAGCGTCGCCCCATCGCCACTGCCATGTCCCAGTCCTCTTCCTCCTCTGTTCTGCCCTGCTTGTCTCCAGACGATGCCATGTGGGTTTTGCTTATTTATTTATGATCCAAATCTCTCGCTAGATTGTAAGCTCCCGGAGGCAGGGATTTCTGTCGCTTTGTTCGCTGCTGAATCCAGGATGCTTGGAACGTGCGTGCGAGGCACCTAAGCATCCACCAGGCAGTCGTTAGGTGAATGAGTGAGTGGATGGATGATTTGGGCACAGTCACCAGAGCCTTTAATGAAGGCTTTAAGATTAACCTTTTTGTTTGTTTGTTTGTTTCAGACAGTACGTCACCATGAGCATATAAACAAGGCTCAACATGGGTGTGAACCGTATCTGTACATAATTGTATATTTGAGGCATGAACCTAACCTTAAGCTGAGAAATGCACCATTTTTGATCCTTGTGTTACCTTAGCTTACTTGGACAAGAAAATCCCCCCTCTGTTATTATTTGTAAGGTAGAAGATAGACTAAAGGGAGACTATCTATCCCACATAAAGCAAAGGTACCTTGAGGATAGCTTGAATTTAAATATTCTCGGTTCTGTGATTCTCATTTTATATTATGAAAACGTAGTTTGGAAACTAACTTTTACCCTCTCAAAGGAATAAATAAGCATCATGATTTATGAAGATATTGAGAAGCAGCCATTTAATATGTTAGTAGAGAGAGTGGAAGAAACCTCTACTCTTTGGGTGTCCAGGGCACATGTGTTCAAAACTAAAATAACGAATTCTGTAATGTGTCGCATTTATAGAAACTTGATTTTTCCAAAAAGTATGTCATTGTTTTGTTTTTTTCTGAGAATAATATCGCTAAGACACTTTGTCTCAAAGCCTATTTAACTTACAGTTATTTTACATTCCTCAGATTACGCTATGGGAAAAGACTGCATTATGCACGGGTACATGTTGAAACTGGGAAACCCATTTCTGACTCAGTGGCAGCGTCGCTATTTTTACCTCTTTCCAAACAGACTTGAATGGAGAGGAGAGGGAGAGTCCCGGGTAAGTCGGTGACAGCCTCGCCTAGCCCAATGCTCAGGACGTTCAAGGTCAAAGGGTTATTCCATGTTGCCAGCATGTTTCGTATTAATAAAACGTCCTTCTGAACTCTGTGTGTCTATTTTAACTTGTGTATGCACGCGATTGTAACGTTCCAACTTTAACTTTTGAACTTCCAAGTCAAGTCCAAGTCAAGGAAGAACTTTGTGATATCTGAAAATAGAATGGGCCCTTTGGTGAGGTCCAAAGCACTGCATCATCTAGAGGTGATTTAGAGTATATGGGAGGATGTTCAGCGGAGATACGCAGACACCACGCCATTTCACACCAAGGACCTGAGCATCTGTGGATTTCAGGATCCTGGGTGGCCCTAGAACCAATCCCCCAGGGATACTAAGGGATGACTGTACTATAATTTTCACATGTTTACCTGAGGCCAAGTGCTATTAAAAAAACCCCTCAATCTTTGTTTAGTAACCTTTGAGGGTCCAACCCCCATTTTACAAAGAGGACACCAGGACTTAGGGAAAGCCTGGTACCCAAGGACACAGCTGGCCAGTTGGGGGCTGAGAGGTCGTTCAGGCCCAGCTCTCAGTTTCTCCATTAAACAGCCTCTCCTACTTGGGTCAAGTAAAATGTCATAAGCTGTGATACCTGGTGTAGAGGCAAGGCCGCCAAATGGTATTTCTTTGGGTCTCAACCTTGTCGGAAGTGTGTAGGTTCATCATACCATGGGAAGATGTAGCTGCCCTTTAAGACTCTTTCGAGAGCTAACGTTTATGAACAAGACAAAATGATCCATGCTGTACTGTTCAGTAAGTCAGGCAGCATTTGTTAAGCCCTTGCTGTGTGAGGAGCTGGTCACCATGGAATGAGCCAGTGTGGTGGAAGGCCTGGCCAGTCACTGCAAAGAGGACAACGGTCCCAAATGTTACAAACGTAGTTTATGTGTCGGATACGTTAGAATCCCACCCACCTGTTCCCCAGTGCCCAGAAGAGTAGAAAATAGTCTGCCTAAATCTTTCATATTTGACTTTGGACTGTATTTTTTAATCCCTGTTGGTGAAGTTGCCATTTAATTGAGAACGATTATGATTGCATATTGCTACACTTCTTTAAAAATAAACATGGTCTTCTCACTGTTACTTGTGCCAGATTTTTTAAAAGTTAGGATCTAAGCTCTGACTTGCAATTAATACGACTGTTTTTGGGGGGCCCTAAATTATAACTCTGGTGCTGGTAAGTGTTCAAGTAGCTCCCCAAAGCTCAGTCTATTTCCAGATAACGAGTTAGGCCCAGGCATATTATGCATTTATTATGCTATCTACTGGCAAGCTACTGTTGTGCACATTAAAAGGAAATGGTCCAACTTTTCAAGATATTTGGAAACTAAAAAAAGTAAGAAAAAAAATAACTTCCTTTGTTTAACATTGGATGTGATAAATTATCTTGGTTTTAGAAGATTCAGCATCTTAGAGTTCTATTTTGAGAAGCTACATAATATGCATGAGTGAATTTGTACATATAAATTAGAAAAAAGAACTTGAGAGTTTATGATGTGATTGTTTTTCATTTAGGATTCCTGGAGTATTTATCCAAAAAAAAACATAAAATGGTAAGGAACTCACCACACTATAGCATTCACCTAAAGCAATAATGCTATAGACCTAGTATGACAATCTTTTAAGGAAATTGCCTGTATTTATAACATCATTTTGATATTATCAGAATATTGTTAGCTTACAAGCTGGTATTGCCAAGCATTGATTGAGCTGCTGTGTTAAAACTGAACTACAAACCTTTTGCTCACATAAATCATGTGTAGTGCTTAATTTTTCTCTCACAACTTTATTGATAGGATTTAGATGTGTATATGATACAAAATGTATACTTGTGACTCATTCAAAACCAATCTTGTGTTGAAGGAACAGCTTTGCTATTTTTCCTTATTGAAATATGTCTGTCTTTGCAGTTTTCTTTGAAATATTATAATTCTAACTTTTGTATGCCTTAAAATATCAGCAAAGAAAGAAGAGCACCCCTTTTTCTTTACTTGTTCTAATCTCATAGTTTTGGGTATTATTGCCTATTAATTTAACTTAAGAAATGAAATAATTTGAAGTAATTTTTAATTTGTATTTCTCTGGCTAGCAAAATTTGCTGACAATGGAACAGATTGTCTCTGTGGAAGAAACTCAGATTAAAGACAAAAAATGCATTTTGTTCAGAATAAAAGGAGGGAAGCAATTCGTCTTGCAATGTGAGGTGAGTTTTTATTTTTTCTTAGGTGAAATAGCAGTTATATAAATATTTAGCAAAGAGGCTGCCTGTTTATAAGACATTTTTCTTACTCCATGTTTTATCACTTACAGACTTAATAAGAAAGTCCCAAGATGCAAGGTTTTCAGCAAATTAGCAGTGATTTTTTTTTTAAAAAAGCAAATATTAAAAACTGGCAGGAAGGAAATGCATGAAGTAATTTCATTACCCTGTCTGGATTCTCTGTCCAATGTTTAATGGGGTCTAGAATTTTATTTGTCCTATAACTTTCAAGATAGTATCTTTTGGCATGTTTAAGAAGATTGAGGTTTATGTATTTAAATACACATAAGATATCACAGTGATTCGTGAGCGTGAGTGTATGTGTGTCTTAAGGGAGGGTATTTAACGAGATAAAAAAGTAGTAGATGTAAAAACACATTTTTAGTGACTTTATTACTACATCACACACAGGAAGGTCTTTTTTAATTTGTCAGAACTGTCCTCCATATAGTATACTGTAGACTTCGGTTGCTTTAGAAATCAGAGGTCGCCTCTGGACCACTTGAAGGCAGCAAGCGATTCTCACGGCAGGTCGTGCTGGGATCATCTCGAGGGCTGTAACTCGGCCTTTTCCCTGTCTGGGCAAGAGCTCCTGGAGGTGCCCGCACGGCCCACCAGCGGCGAGGCCACCGGGGGCAGACACGCAGGGGCGCGCCCCCCTTGGGCTGCCAAGGCCTTCAGTAACGACTGGTGGCAGCTGTGGGCAAAACGGGCGGGCCCGTCACAGCCTGTGCCTTTGTGTTTCCACCCAGAGCGACCCGGAGTTTGTGCAGTGGAAGAAGGAGCTGACCGAGACCTTCACGGAGGCCCAGCGGTTACTGCGCCGCGCGCCCAAGTTCCTCAACAAGCCTCGCTCCAACATGATGGAGCTCTCCAAGCCACCCCTCTGTCACAGAAGCAGCAACGGCCTCTAGCACCCGGCGGCGGGGAGGGGGTCCACACCCAGGGGTCCACACCGGCCACCACCAGCCCTCTGAGCAGAGCCCCTGGCGAAGCGCGAGGATCCAGCGCCTGGCGCGCTGACCGCCGGGCCCTGGCTCGGTAGGCGCCCGGGGACCCCCAGACAGGAGCTGGGGCCCCTTCTTGGACCCGGGGCCGGCCTTGCTCCCGTGCCCGGTCACCGAAGGAATGAAAGGTCTTTTCCTTTGCCACGCACTTATTTTGGTATCTCTGAACCTAGAACTCGAGATGATGCCTACTCACCACTTACATTTTTACGTCTGAGACCCAGCGCGTCTTAACCTCTCCAGGGTGGAATTTAACCGTCTTCAGTGTTGGGAAACAGACTGCCCCAAGCGTTGCCTCATTTACCTATAAGCAGCCACCGCTGGCTTTTATATCTGCCTTTGCCCCATACTCCTGGGGGTGGGAGAGCGAGCGACCCAGCGACGGCGAGTTTTCTTCCGTGCACTTTACAACTGACCTCCGGCTGTCCCCGGTCAAGAGCCAACCACGTTTTCCGAGGGCGCAACACTCGGGCCCCTCTGTTGAGTGGCCTGCACACGGTGCCTGGCCGCTGACCTGTTGCCTGGCGCTCACAGCCAGGGGCAGCGGCGGGAGCGTATCCCACTCCTTGAAGGCGCGCCCCCGCCCCTCCTGGGAGAGGTTTGCAGCCATGCAGAAGGAGAGGCAGTGGCGTTTTAGATTTCAGGGAGAACAGCAGTCTTCAAGAATCTTCACGGCCGGTGTGCTCAGACAGACAGCATCTTCCTGTGCCTGGTGCGTGCACACGCGTGTGGGCGAGTCCATCTCCGGGCTCTCCGCAACACGCGGTCGTGTGCGACAGTCATCCCGGTTCCGTCTGCCCGAACCCAGGGAAATATCAGTAATGGGTGTGCAAAAAAAAAAAAAAGTCTGTTTTACATTTTAGTATAATTTAAAGTGAATGTTATTGAAAAAAGAATGCCGAGGAATGAATGTGTGGAAATGGGTTAACTATGTATATTGGCTTTCTAACTTCCCTTGTCATTCATCTGTCATTAATGAGTACTTTGCACTGGGCTGTTGTAGGGCAGAGGGGACGTTAGAGCGTACGGGCTTTTTTTCCCTAATCCTAGCACCCCGCCCTCAGCCCTGACGTCTGTTTTGCACCCTGTCCCCATGCCCTGCCGATGCCCCAAATAAACGCCAGGTTATGAGAACCAGTGAAGCCCCCCACGCCATCAGACTACAACAGTAATAATTTTAAAGTCCGCATATTTGTCCTGCTCCTGGTGTAGTTTTATTGTGTGTCTTTAACTACTGACGATATAAATAACTTGACATCCTAATTATCTGTATCCTGTTCTTGATATTTTTAGTAGTTCCAAGTCCTTGTTTTCGTATGTGTATGCTACGTTCATTGGGAAAGTAATTTTAATGAAATTGTATTTTGAGAGTTTGGAAGATCATTTACTGAAAGGGTCTATCGTTTCATAGGCGTTACTTTGGAAGAGAAATTTTGAGGTATGTTATTCATCTCAACTACTAGTTGGGGTTTAAATGAACATACATGTTCTGCTATCTGTTATTTCCAGTGTAGGAGGATGGATATACTATTAACATGCATCCCCCTTATGGAAAAGGGAAGAATAGTATTCAAATCACACCTGTAATCTTTGCACTCTGGGAGGCTGAGGCGGGAGGATTGCCAGACGTCAGGAGTTCAAGACCAGCCTAAGCAAGAGCCAGACCCCGTCTCTACTAAAGATAAAAAAATTCGCCAGACATTGGTGGCCCACCTGTAGTCCAGCTACTCGGGAGGCTGAGGCAGGAGGATCACTTGAGCTCAGGAGTTTGAGGTTGCTGTGAGCTATGATGATACCACGGCACTCCAGCCTGGGTGACAGAGCAAGACCCTGTCTTAAAAACAAAAAAATAAAAATAAAAATAAAAAAAACACCACCAGAAACAGAAAAACTGTTGTTCTTAAAGAGTATCTCCCCAGCCCTGGTTAATGGTAGCGGGGCCTGTCGTAGTCACTTTCTAGATCACAGGCTCGTACACACAGCGCTGGCAGTCGAGGCCGCCCTGTGCCCCTTCCCTTGCGAAGGCTCCAGGACTCCGCCAGGGCCTGGGCTTAGCGGGTCACGAGGGCTCCAGCGTCTCGTGCGTACCTGGGCGTTCTCCATGCAGAAGCATTCAGAAGGGTCTTCAGCCTTTCCCGAACTTGCCATAAAATTGAGCCAATCCACACCTCTTTCAAAAATACTACCTTTTCTCTTGAGATTAAAATAAGGCTCTTCTCTCTTTTAGAAAAGAAATATGAATTGGAAAATATACCAAAAAGCCCTCTTGCCTGAAGCATATGCCAAGTAAACTTTGACCCCTTCCCAACTCGCATTTGACTTATAAGGATATGACTGAGAAGTACTCTTGTGCCATGTCATTGCCGTAAAGTACCCTGTGGGATTAGGCAGGCTACCTCCAAGGGCAGTGGCCGGCTGTGCTCTAGGGTCCGGTTTGATGGTCCTGGCGGGGCCAGTCTGCCGGGACGTCATGAGGGGACGTCCCTGCGCCCAGACAAACACCGCTGTGTCTGCAACTGGTGCCCACGTGTTCAGAGGAGAAGTGGGCTGAGTTATAGGTCTTGGAGTGCTTGGCTGTTTTAGGTGGTTTTCAGAGGTTGGGTAATTCCTAGATGTTTGCCCTTCTCACATTTGGACCGTCAAACAGGGCAGAATTCAACCCACATGTTCTCACTATTTGAGATTTCTATAGTTGGGATAGCTTAACACTGTCAAGGAAAATAATTGAGGTTGATATTATTTTTATAAAATGTTGTTATAATAAGTCTTGATTTCATGATTCAAAGGAATCTATAAAGCAAGGCCTAAATATAATAGAATACTTTAAGCTGCTATGTAACATATTATGGACTAGATTAAGAACTTTTGTGAATCCAAGTTTATTCTTCTTAACCTAAAACATGCCCATTAGTGCGTTTGTCCCCTCATGTCCTTGGGGCTCATTGATTTTCTTTCTTTACCATGTTTAAGTATGATTTTTCAGCAAATCTCCGGACATTGGTTTATTGCTTCACCATTAATGCAAAGTAGTCATGCCTCTGATTGGTCTATTCACTGACAATACGATTTCAAATTCTCTCTCTCTATATATAAAAAAGGGCCGAATGTCTAGCAGTGCACACTGGGTAGAAGCATTCTGCTCAAGAGAGACAGCGACAGCAGCAAACATTGTTCCATTTGTTGACAAACAAGATTTAACTTGATTTGCAGTTTGAGATATGCCATGCAGATATTAGGAACAATTGGTTTAAGGGCCTCAATGGCCATTAAAAAAACTATTTACCAAATGACAATGGGATTTAATGAGATTAAAAAGATCACATTTTTTTCTAATTTTTTTTTATTTCGCTCAGATTTTATAATTGGGATTAATTAAATATGTTTGGCTTTCCAGTGGAATTGATTTTTTTAAATAAATGTTTCAGAATTTTGACATTTCAAGAAGAAAACATACTCTTGGGAGGCCGAGGCGGGCGGATTGCTCGAGGTCAGGAGTTCGAAACCAGCCTGAGCAAGAGCGAGACCCCGTCTCTACTATAAATAGAAAGAAATTAATTGGCCAACTGATATATATAAAAAATTAGCCGGGCATGGTGGCGCATGCCTGTAGTCCCAGCTACTCGGGAGGCTGAGGCAGAAGGATCGCTCGAGCCCAGGAGTTTGAGGTTGCTGTGAGCGAGGCTGACGCCACGGCACTCACTCTAGCCTGGACAACAAAACCGAGACTCTGTCTCAAAAAAAAAAAAAAAAAAAAAAAAAAAAAAAAAAAAAAAAGAAGAAAACATAATTCTCCAAGTTTGACCTTTTTTACACCATGTAAGTCTAGAAAAATGCTTTAGAAATTCGATAGACTTATCTCGTATGATTTAATCGCATGTAATTTTTTCCCCCAGTTATGTTCAGTTCATGTGTTTCAGAGACATTTCCGAATTAGCTCCACCCTAGCCTGCATGAGGGGGTGACTTGTTTGTGCCGGGTGAGGGCCCGTCTTCGCTGGGGTCTGGGACAGGTGGTCAGGGGGCGGGTGACTGTCACAGAGAACAGCCGTGGTAGAAATGGGGAAAAGGAAGAAAGCAGCTAATTTGGTCAAAACCATTCCCTTTACACCATAAAGCACCAATGAAATGCCTTGCATGAAAGTTGGTGGGATTTTTTTTTCCTCCAGAACAGAGGAGATTTTTTTTTCCTTATTGTTACAGTAATAATTACTTTAAGACTTCATCACTTTATTTTTGCATATGCAACCACTGAAGTGAGTAAGAGGCCATCTGCTCTGTATCAGGACTTTCTTAGAAAGCTGTGTTACTGCCGGGCTACCTCCAGTGAAGCCACAGGCTGGAGCTGAATCAGCACCAATCATCCCCAGAAACACCTTTGTTTGGAGCCGCAGGAGGCAAAGAGGGGGTGTCCGGGTCACTGTGAATGCATGGCCCAGTGGGGGACATTGTGGGGAATCCACTGGAGTTCCAGTAAAACCCCTAGAAGAACAGGACCCTTGCTGTGTGTGCCATGCCCATTTCTGTGGTGAGCTTTAATGGTTTAAATTTCAAAAATAAAATTGTTTTTCTTAAGATCTAACCAATTTTCCCTTCGCATGTAAGGTTTCCTGGAGAGGCTTGAATTAAGTACTTAAATCCATGTTCACATGAATTTTTTTTTTTTTTATCTGGACCATATTTTAAAATTTCTTAGTGTTGAACTCTAAAATGATATTCCTTGGTTTTTCTCAAGTCATGATGGACTTTAGATTTTCTTTGTCCTCAAAGACAAAGAGAGTGGTTCTCTTACTGCAGAGCAGCCGGGATGTCCTCTGCGCTGGCTGGGTTAGCGTTGATTGATGAGTGCAGGACCCATTAAAAACAAGCAAAAAACAACAGAAAATGTGTTAACGGCATATGCATTTCATCTAAAACATGTAGGGGAAAAGCACCTTCATTTTAGAGTTAAAGAACTCAAATTCACACAGTGGGGTCCACTCTCCAGCTAGATCTAGCAAACTCATGATCATCTCTGTAGGCTGGCGACCATGCCTCCTTTTTGAATTTTGTCCTAAATATGTCTTTGATGTCAGGGTAGGGAATGGAGAAATATTTCTGATTGTGTATTCATATTACAAAGAACTTGAAGTTTGATTTGTTTCTTAGTTGATTATATATTCTATGATGTATATATTATATGTGGTTTGTAAGCTAAACACTGGCCATTTCTTTTTTTTTTTTTAGTTTTGTTAAATTGTATTTTTCTATGTTTTAACTAATGATAATAGATTTGGCTTTTTCTGGGTAACCTAAAGATCACTGAACTACATATATATATATATAAAGAAGACAAGAGTTCTATTTTAGCACAAAGGCATTTTATATTATTTATTGAATCCGTAAGTTTGTTTTCATCAAAAACGTTCCGTATCTTTTCTGCCTCCTTTTTATTTGTATAGTTCGTTATTTAAAGAAATGACAGTCCTTTCTGTTTGTCATACAATAAAATGGAGATAATCGCATACAGCAATGTGGGGCAAAGTCTTCTTCTCGCTGCCATAGACTGTTCCCAACAGTCACTCGTCCTCTGTCTGCGCCGAGAGGGGCACGCACGTGGTGACACCTGACAGCAAACTTGCTCCGAAACACCGCTCTCAGCTGCCCCTTCCCAGGCCTCTTGCTTGTTGAGAGGTACCCCGGATGCTGCATGCTGCACTGGCTAGATCATAAAAGAATTTCTGGAAGACACTGCACTGTAATTCTCTTGTGGCATCGATCTGTTTTTAAAGCCACAGTGTCTAGGGGCCCTCGTGAGCCGAGCAGGTAGATGACTCTTCTACCTGGCAGTCGGTTAGGGTTGGAGGTGCAACCGCAGGACACCTCTCCTCTTATTGCTCCACATCCCCACAGCCCGTCTTCCCGTTGCTTCAAGAGTTGACGGCTGCACCGATTTCTCAACTTACTAAAGAGAAAAGGGCCGTCCTCACCCTTCTTTATAAATAACAAGCCGTGTTTGAAAGCACTGCTTTTAGGAGTAGCATATTTGAATGCGACTATTCCCCCTTTCGCTGTTTCAAAACAGTTTGGAAAGTGGCGTGGCCAAGGCAAGTGCCCTCACGCAAGGATGAAAAGTTTGTAAGAGGTCTTATTTTTGGATGGGCCCTCGCTGTATGTGAAAATAGGAGGAAGACACGTCTCTGTGAGTGGGCGACTCGCAGGCATTATACAGCAACACACTGTGTCCCTGGCCAAGTCCCCTACCCTTCAAGAAAGAAATCCATTTTC